CCTCCTAAGCCCACTGCTCTGTCTCTTCAAGAAAGCCCGTGTCCAGGGTCGGACTCCGGTGACGTGTGGTCATCTCGGGCCAAGGAAGCTGAGCCGGGCACTCAAGGCCGTGCGTGCAGGGGGTCCGCTGAGGCTCAAGTGGGCTGTGCGCCAGGCCAACTGAAAAGACAGCATGAGGACAGGGCCACTGGGAGGGCTGTGCCACTCCAGCCTTGTGGTAAAATAGTACCACGTGAGTCTCCCACCCTTGCCACCAGGGTGTTGCTGCGGGGCCCTCAGCTGCAGTGACTGCTGTGTGAGGACAGGGACGCCAGGCCTTGGAAGACAGGTGACACGAGGGGGATGGCGTGGTCTCACCCCGGCCTTTACAGCCCCTGTGGAGGCCAGCACGCCCTCCACAGACTCCAGGTGGGGACCCCATGGCTTCTCAGCTATCTGTCCCATTTAAGTTCTAGGATGCATGGCCTGGAAAGCCAGCCCTGCCACCTCAGGGTGGCCCCTGACTCTCAGGGGTGTCCAGCCTTTCCTTGAGTCTTCAGCATTTTCTCAAGGTTAAGGTCCGGGGCATTTCAGATTTTTAAAATCAGAGTAGCTACCCATTTCAGACACAGCACTCAAGTCTTTTGATAAGCTACATTTACGACTTAGTAAATGAATTAAATCATGGAAAGGCACTTTATGTACACTAACTGTGTCACATAACATGTATTGAATGTTTACTAACTTTCACCAAAATGCTTAAGACAACAACAAAATGAGACCACAGGGCAAACATTTTAATTACAGATTGAAACACAGTGCATCAGATGAGGCAAATACGGTACTGTACCAGTCTTAAACAATCTGACCTGTAAAGGTTTTACAGTCTAGTGCACTTAAATAAAACAAAAAAACTGCTTAGGTAACAAAACTATACTTTAAGTTGCTTTAGAAACAGTTCTATGCTAGGAACAACAGAAAGCGATCTGTTGTGCTGCTCTCAAATGGAATGGGGGTTTTGGGGTCCTCCTAGGGCCCAATACATGGGGTAGGGGAGGTAGGACAGCCCAGTCCCAGGCTAGTTGACCTTGGAAAGCATAAGCCCGAGTCTGCTTCTCTGGTTCTGTGAAAAGCAGTCTTCAGGCCACAGCAAGTTTAGGAGTCAGTGCAGCTGGGAGATTATGTGCTATCCCTGGGGAGAAAGTGAGACCCGTCCCCATCTAAAAACTCAGTAATCAACGACTAATCCAGTTTATCCATTGATAAACAAGGTTTCGGCTATGTTGGAAGCCTAAATCAAAAGCTAACATCAATTAAACCACGCCTTAGAAACAAATCCCCCAGATGATAAAAATGAATTCATTTTCGGTTATTAAATTACCTTGAATAAATATTTGATACCTTACAGATACCAGATAATTTTCTGTAAGAATCAGAAGGTTCCAAGTTGAAAAAACATCTATTCTGTTAAGTATTTGAGTGTAAAAAACCTTTAAGAATGTTTTCAAAAATAAGGTCAACATGTAGGACTTTGGGTAGCATCCAGTAATTTGAAACCAACCACGTGTTACAATGCAGTTGTGAGCTCCATGAGCTTCTGCCTGCCCCCACTCTAAAGGCAAGGTTAACTCCCGCTGCAGTGGAGGTCCCAGGGGCTGGCTGAAGTTGGCGTGGCCCGAGGAGGGCGGGGCCTGCTGGAGCCGGGAGCAAATGTGCGAGATTCTGCAGCAGCTCAGAGCCCCAGCGCTAGTGGATGGGCCAGTTGATGGTAAATTAATTCCTGCCCAGACTGATGGTCCCAGGGCCCAAAGTCGGTGAGTGAAGGTGCAACACGGGGAGGAGAGGCCTGAGCTGTGAGATGAGAAAACCGAGGGAATCAAGGGCTCTGCTTTTGGCATCTGAAGCCACGGCGCAGTAGTTGCTTTAAAATACCAACATTCAGTCACAGGAATAATCTGAGTTGAAGGGATCTTGATAAAAGGAGAACTAGTATTTCAGACAGGCAGAGAGCAGGCTGGCTTTGATACATACAGCTGTCAGCGGGGGGAGTGGCAGGCTGCAGGGTTGGGCAGCTCAGGAGTGATGGGGCCCCGGGGAGGCTGTGCCCAGCCTCCACTGTGCCAACCCCGGGGACACTGCAGCACTACCAGGAACACCCGTGCCGCCTCAGCACACAGGTGAGGGCAGAACATGTGGCCTTAAATGACTAGATTCAAATCGTGCTTCAAATGTACCACATAACAGCGTGAGCTCTGTTTGAAAATTCCTCACTCAGTCCAGTGCAGCAGATACCAGCTTGGGTGACTAGTCTGAACATAAAAAAGGACATAGGAAAATAAAGGCATGTTTCTCTTCTTTAAAAATACCTTATATGTACACAACAGTAATTGGTACAGGAGGACCCCTGGCGTGAAGAGCACTGTAGGAAAGATGGCGACGGTCTGTCTTCCCCACCAGTGCATTTTGAAACACTTTTAGTTAGCTAAGAGCCGAAAGGAGCCACGTGGCTGGCAACGTGGTCTTTAAGGGAATGGGGTGGGTTTTTCACAAGGATGTACCACCTTGAACCTTAGCACTGCGTACCGCTCACCTGAGTGTCTCCCAAGCGCTGGGACCGTGGACCGTCGGGTCACAGGGTCAATGGGACAGACAGCTGCCCTGAGAAAGCGCTGACGGGAGGGAAGTGGGGTGTTTACAACACAGCAGCACTGCTGACCATGGGAGCTGTCACCTAGCACACAAATGGTCGCGGGGCCTAATCGGAAAAGACAGGATCACAGGTCCAGCCGCTGCAGTCCCCGCCTGGGCCAGGGCCCGCGGCCGTCAGACCGAGGTGTGCACGGGCGTGGCCGAGTGCGAAGGCGAGGAGCCCCGCTCCGATGAGGACGAGGCACGTGTGGCCACCTCCCGCTGCAGGTCCTCCACCCTCTTCTGCAGCTCCGCCCGGACAGCCAGCAGCTCCTTGAGGTTCTGGTGGATGGGCATCTGCAGGGACAGAGAGGGCCGTGTCAGTGCGCTGGTCCTTCCCCAAACAGCCTCGGCATCCAGATGCTTCGGTTCACCCCGAGCTCACAGTCAGGACGCCTGTGCACCCAAAGGCTCCTCAGTCTCTGACCGAACTACAGCCAGGTGCACCGGGCCCCTCCCCACGAGCCAGGGCCTTCAGCTGCCACCATGGGGTGGCCTCCCTGGTTCTGCTTGCCTTCCCTGCTGGGCCAGGACCCCGGAGGGGACAAGGAAGCCTGGGTGAACCTGCCACCTGAGCATCAGCCGAGGCTACCCATGCAGACTTGGAAAGGAGCCAGGACTGTGGGAAATGAGAGCAGTGCTTCCCTGCCACCGAGCAGCATTTACAGGGACAGCCCCCCCACCTCCATCACCCCTGTATTTCTGCATTTTTATAAACAGCACTGTGGACTGAAAATATGTCTGTTACCTCAACACTTTCTAGCACTTGAACTAGCGTTCGTTTTCATCAACCAGATCAGGAGGGGACAGAAGCCCCTGGAGAGGGCCGTGCTGGAAGACGGGGAGCCCCCGGGCACTGCACCTCCCCACTTCACGAAGCATCCGCCGACAATGCCTCACCCCAATTCCTAAGCCGACCAATGGGGGTGAGCCAGAAGCAAATGAGAAGGGTTTTCCTGGGGCACAGGGGCCACCTCCGTAGTCTGACTGTTCTGGTCATGGCACCCACGTCTGCACTTAGCAAACAAGCTGTTCTCCACACCTGCAGGGGCCCAGAGATCCCAGACCTGGTGTCTCCCTCATGGCTTGAGGCAGACCAGGGAGGGAAGTCGCCAGCTGAGGGGCAAAGGCGGCACGGGCGGTGGGTCTGTGGAGCGCTTCCTGCTTCCCTCCAACCCCAGTCCAGGCAGCATACAGCAGCCGCAGGCCTGGGTCCTGAGCCTCGGCCGGGCCGTGGGATGCTCACCAAACACCCTCCGGTGGCTTCTTCCTGCTGCCCTGAAGGTGAGATCCTGACCTTGGCCTCAAGGCCCTGTATGGTCTGACCTCAGCCTGCTTCTCCTGCTCACTTCTCACCAGGTCCTGCCTCTACTCCCCTCCTGCATTCTAGAACCTTCCATATTTTAGAAGATGCCATGCATCCTCTGTCCCTTCTGCCGGAGACACTCTTCACCCCGCCCTTTCACTCACGTGCTGGACTTCATCCTACAGGGACCGGCTGGAAGAGGACTTGCAACGGGTGTGGGGCCTTTCGGCGCCTCTCCACTCCCGCCAGGCCTGTGTGTTTCATCGTTACCTCCCCTGAAGACTGGGAGTCATCCCACCCGGTGCCAGTGGTGACCAGCCCCAGTAGAGGGAAGAGGGAAGGTGGGAGACAGATGGGAGGGAGATGAGAGCCGAGAGTGAACGACCAGAGATGAGGCGGGGACAGGGTCGGATAGGTGGACAGCTGGGTGTCTCCACACACTAGGGGGCTTGATAACCAGCACCACGGAGGCTGACAGGACACGAACAGTTGGGTCCTGCCCGTGGTTAGTGGGGCTTGGGGGCTGTTATTGTGTAACTGTGTCCCCCACGCCCCAAATGCATCGGTTGAAGTCCTCAGCCCCAGCACCACAGAAGGTGACCTTGCTCGGAAGCAGGGGCTTTACAGAGGTGCCGAAGTTAAAGTGAGGTCCTCAGGGTGGGCCCTAATCTGGTCCGACTGGTGTCCTTATGAAAAGGGGGAAACTGGACACAGACGCACACAGAGGGCGGACGAGGTGATGCAGGGACAAGACGCGTCTACCGGCCCAGGAGAGAGGCCCGGACCAGACCCCGCCCTCTCGGCCCTCAGAAGGAGCCCGCCCTGCCCACATCTTGACCCTGGACCTCTGGTCTCCAGGCTGGGCGGCAGTGCGTTTCTGTTGTTGCAGACCCCCGTCTGGGGGACTTCGTTACAGAAGCCTGAGCAGACGGACACAGACGAACCCTGCCTGGGGAGACTGTGGAGGCCCCGAGTGAGGGGAAGGACTGAGGGGGAGAAGGGCGGAGGGGAAAGGCAGCACTGCACATCTACAGCCGACAGAAGTGATGGGGTCAAACAAGGCCTGGGCAACATGCCCATAAATCCTGAGAATATTCAACTGAAAAGGGAAGGGGGGGGAAGGGAGTGAAGGGGAGGGGAGGGGGAGGGGGGGGAGGAGAGGGGAGGGGGGAGGGGAGGAGGAGGGGGAGGAGGAGGGGAGGAGGACGGGAGGGGAGAAAAGAAACCTCAGCAGAAAGCCATCTGGCCTCGGAGGTGAGGGCTGCCTCCATGGTTCTCCCCACCGACTCCGACCATACCCTGGCCACCTGTGTGGAAGAGCTTGGGGACTAGGACAGGACCAGGGACAGCAGAGGCTTCGGGGAGCACCTCACCTCGGTGGGACCTGAGCTCAGCCACTGGACACCCAGGGTGACTATAACGTGGCTCTGGCCTGGCCATGCACTGTTCTGTACTATTTGTTCAATCTCAGAAAATGTTACAGTGAAAAGGGGTGGCAGGGACAGGGAAACCTGAACCCCTCTTCAAGGGGGTGCCTGTTCTGTGACTCGGCACGCACCCTCTCTCTATTGTGCTATCAGAGTCTATAAACTGTCACAGAGTCATCGGAAGGACGAAGAATCAAATGCAGTAACTTCTAACACTTTGTCATCTGTCTACCTTCAGCAGCAGAAGGCAGAGGTGCTAAGATCTGTAACTCTAACCCAGCAAAGAGCACCTGGCTTGGTGCTGGAAGGCACCTGCTGGAACACGAATGCAAAGGACCGAGCCCTGAGAGGCGAGGGCAGAGGGCCTTCAGTATATGTTCATATGTAGGATGCACACATTTCTACAACACTATCTTCACCTGGACAGAAAGATATGCTCTTTTGAGAAGACAAACAAAAAGATACCTGAGGCCTCATTCGTGGATTCCATCGCACATAATAGTTTACCCATAATTCCAAGTGACTCAGACTAGCAACAGGATACAGGACGTGGTTTTCATAATTCACAAAGAAGGGATTAGAAAATTCATCAAGCTGGCTATTGATGTAAGACCACAAAGATATAGTCTTCGTATATACATCCTGAAAAACAAAGAATGCATTGAATTAAATTCAAGTCTCTTGACACCCCCAAGAATTTGTATCACATATAGAAAAGGACCTGAATAATTAATTGAGTTCAAATGATAAAAATTCAGGAACCTTGACTGAGCCCCACCCCATCCCTCTGCACGCATGGCCTCGTGCTGGGGAAGACCTGAAAACACACTGGTTACTGGCCTGGAAAAACATATTGCTGAGTTAGGTACTATCTGGTGACGGTGTCTGTGAGAAGGCAGAATGAGAACTTTCTAACAATCCCAGGATGATGGGGCCCATATGTAAGAAATACATTTTTTATTCTTGTTTGCAGGTTGCTTGTGTGACCCTTAATATTAGGCACTATAGGAAGAATTTACAGATAAGATTCCTTTCACTGGGAAGTCATGGCTATCTGGGGGAAAAGTGTGCTGTGGCAGGCTGGAGAAGCCTTAAATAGAGAATATGTCATTAAATTCTAGAGCCCCACCTCCCAATTTTATAGGACACAATTTAGAAACACTAACTATTTGCACTGCTCATCGGAATGAAAATACCCAAGCCCACAGGCACGATGGGGCAGATAAACATTAAACATGGATCAAGTACGGTGACAAAGTCAAAACGAGGAGATGGTGAGGCCAGAAGTCTTTCTACCATTCTGCTGCTCCCGAGCCAGCTGGCTTCCTCACAAGTTATCTAGACACAGGAAATTCAATTAGCACTTTTTCAGTTTATATTTTGTATTCATAGAGAAACACCAGCAATAATTTAAGGAACCCCAAATAGCCAAAAGAATCTTGGAAAAAAGAACAAATCTGGAAGTCTCACACTTCCCAGTTTCCAAACTTACTACAAAGCAATAATCAGTGCAGGTGGTACTGGCATAGGATGGACCGGCATGTCCATCAGTGGAACAGAGAGCACAAAAATGAACCTCCACATTTATAGTCAACTGATTTTCAACAAGGATGCCAAGAAAATTCAGTGGGGGAAAGAATCTTTTCAACACACTGCTGAGACAACTGGATAACCGCCTGCAAAAAAATGAAGTTGAACCCTTACCTTGCTATATAGAAAAAGTAACTCAAAAAGGTTCATAGGCCTAAATGTAAGAGCTAAAACTGTAAAACTATTAGAAGAAAACACTAGCTTAAATCGTCATGACCCTGGGTTAGGCAGTGGTTTCTTAGCTATGACACCAAAAGCACAAACAACAACAACAACAAAACAGGTAAGTTGGATTCATCAAAATTAAAGACATGTGTGTTTCAAATGACACCATCCAAAAAGAAAAAGAAGAAATTGTCCAATTCACATAACTTTACAAGATTACTGTAATAAAATTTTCCATAATGTTTTTTAAAAAAGTGAAAAGACAATGCACAGAATGGGAGAAAATTTTTGCAAATCACGTCTAATAAGAGACTTAATACACATAAAGAATACATAAGGAACTCTTACAAGCTCAATAATACAAAGACAGATAACCCACATAAAAATGGGCAAAGGATACAGATGGCCAGACAAGCACGTGGAAAGATGTTCAACATCATTAGTCATCAGGGAAAAACGCACATCAGAATCACAAATGAGACACGACCTCACATCCACAGCGATGGCTAGAATCAAAAAGACACCAAGTGTCTACAAAGATGTGAAGAAAATGAGACCCTCAGACACTGCTGATGAAAATGTAAAATGTTGTAACTGCTTTGGAGAATAGTCTGGTGGTTCCTCAAAGGTTATACATAGAGCTACCATATGACCCAGCAATTCTATTTCTAGGTATCTACGCAAGAGAAATGAAAGCACAGAAAATCCTGTATGTGAATGTTCACAGTCGAGGTATTCGTAAGAGCCAAAAGTGGAAACCGCCTGAAAGTCGATCAGCTGATGAGTGGATAAGCAAAATGTGGTCTCTCCATACAATGGACTGTTACTCAGCCATAAAAACTGAAGTACTGGTGCATGCCAAACATGGGTGAACCTGGAAAACATTCTGCTGCGTGCAATATGCCATCACAGGAAGACAAGTGCATTCATATGCATTGTCCAGAATAGGCAAAGCCCCAGGGATGGAAAGGAGACTAGCGGCTGCCAGGGGCTGGGGGAGAGGACGGGGAGGGACTGCTGATGGGCATGGGTTTTCTTTCGGGGTGATGAACATCTTATGAAATTAGATGGTGGTGATGGTTGCACACTCTGAATATACTAAAAAACACTGAACTTTCCAATTTAAAGGGGTTAATTGTAGTTTGTAAATTTTATCTGAAGGGAGCTTGTTTTTTAGAGTACATTTTGATTAAAAAAAATAAGACCATAAAGGTTTAAATTCAACATATGAACTTCACTCTTCTGTGGCTGATTAAAAAAAAACTTTACTGAGATAAGTCACATACCATAAAATTCACTCTTTTAAATTTTTGTTTTTAAGGGTTTAACAGGGCCCGTCACACTGGGCCCACGGGAAGGTGGCCTTTATCCTGATCACAGTGGGAAGCTACGGGGAGGCTTTAAACCGAAGAGAGGCCCATGATGGGACTGCAGTTCAGGAACACCACCCTGGTTGCTACACTTAGAGTGGACGGCTGGAGGTCAGAAATGTGGGGAGAGAACAAAGCTCGTTTCTGGGCAGCTGCCTTAGTCCAGGTGTGAGACTAGCGGTGGGGCGGCTTCAACAAGGCTTGGAGCAGCAAGGCGTGGCCAGGCTAACAATCTACCCTGGGGACAGGGTTAGCAGTACGCACTGATGGGCTGAACGGGGCAGCTGGGGCGAGGGCAAAGGAGTAATCAAGATGGCCCCTATTTATGACCTTAGCATCCTGCTGGACAGAGGTGCCATTTAGTGAAATGCAAAAGAGCAGGGAAGGAACAGAAGGATGGCATGTAGATCCAAGACAGACGAAATCACCTACAGAGAGAACAGAGTTTGGGGCAAGAAGAGGACCCGGGACTGGGCCCAGTCAACTCCAAGTTTAGAGGAGTTCAAGGGAAGTTATGGAACAGGGAAGGCCAGCGAGGTGGGGAGGGCATGGACTGAGGGTGTGGTCCGCGGCGGGGAGGCAGCCGGGAGGGAGGGAGCTGCGCTGGGGGCTGCAGTTTTCTCCCTCCTGTCCCAGCTCCCTTAGCTTCGCCTGCAGGCCGAAGTCCTTTTCTACAAACCGGGTGGCATTCGTTAAGCTGCCTTCTCTCAGTGCTTCCTCACTTTTGATCGTTTCTGTCTTTTATCCCAAAGTGAGGAGGAAAGGAAGAGGCAAACGTAACTCTGAGAAGCTTGGCAGCTGCAGCTTTACCAGTCTGATGGAAAAGGAACCTTAGCTTGGGACCCAGAGAGAGCTGGGGCTCATCTGAAAGTATCACTTTCCAAGGTCTCCTAGTACCATCTCCCCGTCAGCACAGAGAGTGACTGCAGAACCGGGGCATTGGGGGGTTGAGGGCTCTGGCCTCCAGCAGTGAGCCTAGAGGCCTCAGGGAGCTGCGGGCTGGCAGCGCCCCAGCACCCAGAAAGCCAGGGGCTTTCGTCAAATCGCCTGAAGATTAGACACGCGCTGGGGCTGGTGGCCCCTGGGAGGGCATTTAGTGCCACCACTCCATGTACAGACAGCAGCGGGGCGAGACCCAAGGCCCCTCTCCATCAGTGTCACTTCCACCATGCCACTTTGTGGAAAGGCACCCAAGCAACGGGGCAAGCCGGAGACACTTACCTCTTTGAGTCGTTGCTGCTCACAGTTGCACAAGAAAGTCCCAAATAGACAGCTATAAAGGTGATCCAAAATTGTAATCAAGAATAGTTCATTAAACTCGAATGCTGAAGGAAACTTAAATGGAGAAAGAAAGAAGGTTTAATTTTAAGGTTAAATTTCCAAAACAAACTAGTACTAATTTGTGTGTGTGTGTGTGTGTGTGTGTGAAAGACAGCTAAACTACAACTTGGAATATAGTTAAAAGATTAAAAGGAAAATTGAGTCCACATAGAACTTTATTATTGATAGTTTCCAGTCCAAGCTTATAGATCTGGCTGAGAAACAACCTGAAACAACCAGAACTGTTGAACTTTTTATGCCTAAGAAAGCTTACAGAGCTTCTGCTCCTCGCCATGATGGTGGAACAGAGCCTACATTCACCCTTTGGCCTGAAACATACACAAAATGTATGAAACAGCTGTTTTCAGACATTGGCAACAGGCAGTGGCACAGGACCATGATGCCGCACCTGCCCCAGAAGGGAAACAAATGGGACAAGTCCTACTATTGGCCCAGCTTTCGACTTGGAGGCCCTGGAGGCACATTCTGCATCATGGAGGAGGGAGGGGGTTCCTAGGTACAGCCCATACATATAGTGACTCAAGAAGAAATAAAAAGTCTTTATCTATTAAAGAAACAACTCAAAATTAAAAACCTCTCCACAGAGACAACTCCATGAACATACATTCCCCAAATTCTTACCAATATATAAGCACACTGAACCTGGCAATATGTAAGAGGGGCAACACCACATGACCAAGTGGGGCTTGTCTCAGGAATACAAGGCTGGTTTAAGATTTGAAGATCAATGTCACAAAAAAAAATCTATTACTGTAATTCATTATATTAACAGAATAAGGAAGAAAACTGCATGATCTTCTCAAATGCTGTTTTAGGTAATTTTTTGTTTTTTAAAAGTCATTTTATTTTATTTATTTTCCTATCAATAATTTGATCATTGTTTTAGCTTTATTTATTTTTAGTTCCTTTTGGGGGGGTAATTAGGTTTATTTCTTTATTTTAATGGAGGTACTGGGGATTGAACACAGGACCTTGTACATGCCAAGCATGCACTCTACCATTAAGCTAGACCCTCCCACCTGTCTTAGGTAATTCTTAACGGAGTTTAGCAGAATTCGAGTGAACTGCCATTGCCAGGAGGTTTCACCGGGTAGCTGCCATTTAGTAACCATGAGGAGACAATCTGGAAATGATAATAAGAATCCCAGTGGCAGGCATGTACTGGGAGCCTACCATGCACCAGAATTCTAACTGAAAACATAGTGAAATGTTCATTACCTACTCAATTAAGCCAAGCCAATTAGAACAAAACCAAGAGAACTATCCAGCACATCTTTATTTGGCAGCTTAAAGACCTATTCCTAATCAGAGATGCTTGCACCCTATCACAGCTAATCCTGTTTCTCTAGAATGACAACCAGATTCATGTATAGAAAGTTTATTTTGTAAGTTTACCTTTATCACTTTACTAGACCAAAGACTAGCTTCTCAGCTAGAAACAATGGTCAATGCAGGGCTGTCCAACCGCCCCCCCATCCCCCACAGTTGTTCCTCTCCTCCCCAGGCTATTAGACTAGGCCATGTCAGGAACTCTGCTCAGCTGCCCGAGGTGAAGACTTGCCTCTCTTTCTGCCTTAAGGATCGCTCTCAGAGAAACACACAGCTTTCGTCCAAGGAGCCCCATGGGAATACCAGTTCTCCAGAAACCCCTGGAAACTAGCTGCGGTGGTGGGTCTCATTAACGTCCTTGTTCTTAGAGGAACTAAATCAATGATGAACTAAATCAACTAAATCTGGCTGAAATGCTAAAGCTAGCTACTGGCTAATCCTCTCTCAGAGCCTTTAAGACTGCCCCTTGCAATTCTGACCATGGCCCCATGTTCCAAATGGCTATCTTTTAAAAGTTCAAGTACATTATATCCTTTTTTCCCAATATTTTTCTATGCAGCTTAGTTATGCTCTATTTATAAATCACTGGCACCATGAAACTTGTGAACTCTAAGCAAAAATACAACATTTATGTATACTGAAACTTTATTAAATCAAGGCTAGAAATGAAAGGTCTACATTTTATATTCAAACATTTAAAAATATACATTTACTAACAGGACAGCAAAGCTTCCAATATTAATACATTTTTGAAGCCATATGAGTCTCTATCCCTAACCCTGAGCCTGCATTCGGCATCTGGAAGCTTGGTTGGAGGTTCTATTGCCTCTGACTATAAGCCTTATTCTCGCCAAGTCGGCAGCAGGTATGGGAGGTCGGGGGAGGGGCGGGCTCAGCCCAAGCCCATCAGCACTCACACCACCAGAACACAAGGGCTCCATCCGCTCATGCCAGGTCAGGATGCTATTCACATCCACGGGGCACAGTGGCATTAAACTCAACTCAGGCAACATTTCATCACAGGAAGTAGCAACCACTAGAGTAATACAAATAAAAGATTAAGTCTCTGATTCACAGTTTATTTTGGCCTCTTCTCCTGGAAACCATACCATATACTTCAAAAATGTGGTGTCAAAAACCCCATAGAAATCCATAATGAAAGTCTGCAGCTCTTGAGGGACAAAAATATCAACAAATATTAAACCTGTCTGAAAGGGCAAAAAGTCTGTTAAACTGGAGTTATTGTAGAGTGTCTTTGAGACTCTTCTCTAGTCACTCAATTACTTTTCCCCTTAGTTCCTCTTATATCATTTTCTGCACAGACTACTTCATTTCATTGTGAGATTTCTAACAACTTTGCACTGATACAGCTGACTTCATTTAGCAGTAGGCAACCTAAAAATAAGTTAATCCGGTCACATGAACGCATCTTTTCTAACAAGCTACATATCTCATTCACTTGTGACTTAACTGATAGACTGATCTTCAGAGTGTCTCCTTTAAATGCATTAACAACGTTATTTTAAAAGAAATTAATTATACACATTTCATAGGCAATCTTAAAGCTGTAAGAGGCATCTGAAATCTTCTAACCCAAACCCCTCACTTTATTAAAATTCAATAAACATAAGAAGAATTATATAGATTAGACATAGAAATAGGCACTAAGCAATATGAAGAATGAAGTCAGCTTGAAGGTGTTACACACACACAATTTATCTAGACATTTGGGAGGAATAAGCTACAAAAATGGTGTTTATCCCTTCAGAAGCATCAGAATTGTTTTCTGTGTTCAACCTTCTTATGCAATTTTTCTAAAATGTATTTCATACTTTCCTGTCTTAACCTGAATGTAACCATCATTTAATTTTGTTACTGGCTTGGCATCAATACAAACAGCAAGTACATGGCACTACGAAGCAGTAAGACTTTGGGCCAGCCTCCATGCCTTTTGAGTATGTGTATGCTGTTACCTGTTACCTGTTACTCACACCATCGGGTGCCTACCTCTAAGACCACCCCTCTCCCCACTCCCCACCCTTCTAATTGACTGCTTTGAGTCAGCTGGGACCTGGCACTCAGAAAACAGAGCCCACCTAGCTTGGGGAAGCTGGGTCTAAAAGTCCAAGTAAGTTCTAAGGGAGGGCCTGAGGACTCTGGGAAATCTGCTTTGGCCACTTAGAACCCTGCCCACCTCCATTTGTTTTCTTATTTCTGAAAGTATGTCTAGTCTCTCGAGATCCCCACTACTCCAGTGTGATCCGTGGACCAGCAGCATGACCTGGGAGCTTGTTAGAAATGTGGGCTCTCAGGCTCTGCCCCAGACCCCTGAATCAGAACCTGCATTTGGATAAGATGCCCAGGGAAACTGTGTGCTCATTAGAGTCTGAGCAGCGCAGAAGCTGGCAGAGCAGGCTCCCTGGAGGGCTCCTGACTGAGTGCTGCCCAAAGCCCCGCAGCGTCAGCGTCGGGGGCAGCCAGAGAATCTGCATCTCTCAGCTGGGGATGGGGAGAGGCAGAGGCCACTGGCCCCAGGACTATGCTTGGCACCACTGTCTGGATCACTGGTCCTCTACCTCATTCTCACATCAGAACCACCTGGGGAACATTGATGAACTACACACACCTGGACCTTTCCCCACGCCCGCAGGAAGAAAGGCCTCCAGGGCCGGGGCCCAAGCAGGCACAGCTTTACAGGTTTCCAGGACCCGCCCTGGCACCCACAAGCTGAGGTGGAGATGAGGCGAGGGGCGCTGTGGGCAGTGCCGTGGGTCTCAACCCCTTTCCTGTCCCAACACACTCACATCAGCACCCAGTGGCGAGGACTGGGATTTCAGACTCTCCGAGGTGGGGAGGCGGAAGGCCTTTAAAAGGCTCCAGGGGAATTGCAATAAGGTGGCCAGGCGGCTCAATCAGGGGTCTCTGCAAGTCGCCAGCAGTCTTGCCAGCTGGTCCCCTTCCTGTGACTAAGGCAGCCACGGCCAGACCTCCGGGTCAGCAGGAAGGAGCACGCTCAGGCCGTGCTTTCCTAGCCTCTCTTCCCCCAGCCGCCTCCCCCCAACCCTGGGAAGCTAGACTGGGCAACAGGCACCCGGGAAAGGGCTGTCTGTGGTTTGCTCTTTCTCCCTCCCGGCCCCTCCCCACCATGACCCGTTCATTGCCTCTATTTCTGTTGTCCCTTCTCTCTCTGTCCCTCGGTCTGTCTCCACTGGCTTTGAATCCAGGTCCATTTCTCTGGCACTGCATCCCACTGAGGATAAGACCCCAGACTCGGGTTTCAGGTGGGAGAGGCGGGAAATAAAAGAGCGCGTGCCTTCTGGCCTGCCGACCATCGGCCCGTACACGGAGCTCAGCAGCTTCCTCTCTGCTGTCCTAGGCCACCCTATCCTGGGACACTCATTTCCCTCCTCACCTCGGGGTGGGAGGATTCCTGGAGTCCCTGGTCTCATCCCCTTTGTTCAGACACATCCCCATTTCCAACACCTGGTGACTCTTACCGGACCTGCCCAGCAGGGGTCTGTGTGTGCCCTCCCAGACACAGACAGACAGACAGCGTGCATGGGAGGCCGGACTGAGAGGCAGCATTTGCACAGCTGCTGGACCGCATGATGGACAAAAACCATTCACACAAGAAAAGTACCTTTTGGTGTGAAGTTGGTTGTTTCCAACTTTCTGCTTATATTTCTAAGTGAATTAGAATCAAACTGAGTTAAATAACAGAAGGGGTCATATTTAACACACACACATATCACTTTGAATGAACATGAAATTAAAGTTTCTCTTTACCTTTAAGACATATTTGAATCAGACTATAAAGGTCAGAAACATACTTGAACCCTCTCACCTGTCTCGTCATTTGCCAAACACAATCAATAAACTGCAGGAATATAGGGGACCGGTCAGCATCTGCGTGGTTGTCATTGCCATGGCCCACTCGCTGAAAAGAATCAAGAGGTTAAACATTTTAATGTAGGTCCTCTCGAAAGTCACTTTAAATTGCCTAGTGGCAAGAATCATGTCTCATTTATATGTCCCAAGGCCTAACGATTCCTGGCACATAAAACGCAGTCAAAAATGTTCATTGAATTGAACTGAGTTCCATTATTCTTAGGAAACAAAATTTCAGTGTACTATATTTTTACATGTTGATTGTTTTATAATTTCACTTCAATACCGAATTCAAGAAGTTATAAGCAAATGGCCAGTAAACTTTTCAGTCCAAATGATGGGGTTGGCCCCAGCCACCACACCAAGTGCACAATGTCAGCATGGGACCAGCAATCAGCAGCTCATAAAGCACATTATGACTGTCATTTTCTCCACAAGAGTAGCTTTTTTTCCATTTTTCAGAAATGTCAGGAAGTCTGAGAATCAAAATAACAATTAATAATCTACGAGTTTTAGCCAATTCCACATGACTCAGAGAAACTCAAAAAATCTCACTCCTGAAATGGTAACGGGGAGCCCTTCAGGCAGTCCAGTATGGTATTTCTGGGTTTTTTCCAGTTTTGAGATATAATTGACACCAGTAGCGTATGTCATACCTTTTGCTATTTTAGAAGATGTTAAGAGATTCATACTATAAGGTAAAAGATAGTTTCAAACACATAAACAGGACTGAAAAAAATATTGAAAGTGTCAAGTTAAAAAACGGCTTAGGAGTGAGCATTCTAACAGAAGCTTCACGTAATCTGATGACTAAGCAAAAGGATGAGAAAAGTTATGAAGATACAAGGTGGTCATGACATAGGAAGAGTGAGAAATACTAGATCTATGAGATTTCCACCAGGAAAGACATAAGAAAGAAATGACCAAGTCAACATGAACACTTCAGAATAACACTGTACTGCCTTTTTTAAAAAATGTTAATTGTAGCAAAATATACATATCAAATTTACTATCATAACCATTTTAAGTGTATAGGTCAGTGGCGCTAAGTACATTCACGTTGTTGTGCAACCATCAGCACCATCCATCTCCAGAACTTTCTCATCTTCCCATGCGGAAACAGTGTCCCCATTGAACAGTTGACTCCCTGCTCCCCTCCCACAGCCCCCTGGCACCCACCACCCTTTGTCTGTATAGGTCTGACTGCTCTAGATACCTCATATACGTGGAATCATACAATTTATCTGTCCTTTTGCAACTGGCTTCTTTCACTTGGCATAATGTCCTCATAGTTCATCCGTGTTGTAGCAGGTGTAAGAACTGTCTTCCCTTCTAAAGCTGAATAATAGCCCATTGTATGGATAGACCACATTCTGTTTGTCCGTTCATCTGTTGAGGGACACTGGGTTGATTCCACCTTTGGGCTACTGTGAATCATGCTGCTATGAACATGAATGTGCAAAGAAGTGTTTGAGTCTCAGTTTTCACTTTTTTTATGTCTATAAGCAGAAGCAGACGTACCGGGTCGTATGGTAGGTCTATCTGTAATTGTTTGAGGACCCACCCTACTGTTCTGCTTGGCAGCTGCATGCACTGTCCTAGATCTGTACTCCTCCTTTATAAAATAACTTGTGGAATCTGCTTCTCCGTATTTCAGGCACCAGGGGAAGTTTTGTACCGACATTTCACAGTTTAGGATTCACTCCTTCTTTTAATAGACATACACTGGACTCGTACAGTGTGCACAAGGCACCCCACCTGGCCCGCAGGGCTTCAGGCAGCTTCACAGTGTCCAATAGAGGCCAGGCCCTTGGCTAGGCACCTGGGGCACCAGGACAAATGGTCTGGTTGTGGGAGAAAGACCTGAAAATCACAAAGGCAATAAAGCGTGCAGGGGCTTCCTGGCTGGAGATGGGTATGGTGAGGCACAGAGGAACAAGTGGCCACCCTGGGATGGGCAGGAGGAGGGAACCGGGAGGGAAAGTCACAAGTTACAGTTATGGAGGAGGTCTCATTTGAAATAAATCTTTTTTTTTTCCATTTAACAGAGGCACTGGGGATCGAACCCAGGACCGTGTCCACACCAAGCATGCACTCTACCACTGAGCTCTACTCCCCAGCCCTGGAATAAATCTTGAAAGACTAGGAGGAACCTGCTTCCTGGCTGGCCAAAGACGGACTGAATTAGAAGCAGTGAAGGCGGTGGGGGACACCAGGGGTGCCACAAGTAGCTGGGCATGGCTGAGCCCGGGGAGAGTGGGGAGGCGACGCTGGAAAAGAGGCTTAGGGCCAGATCACCAGCAGCCTCAAATGTGGTGCTGTGGAGTCGGCCCACAAGCTAGCAAGCTGGGGAAGGCTTGGAGGGATCCATGCTGGGGAGCAGCGGCAGCAGATCTGCTATGGGGATGGGGGGACAGTGGATTGGAAGGGGATGAGTGACGGAGAGGCTACTTAGGAGACTGCTATAATAGTCCCATGGGAGATGGCCAGGCGTGAACCAAGCTGGCGTCAGAGGCAATGGGGAAGAGATGACAGAGTTGCAATCCATGTATTAAAGTCATGGGATGGGCTGGGATCAGCAAGGGATTAAACATACAGAGAAAAATGATCCAAGGACTGAGCCCTGGGGCACCCCAACATTAAGAAGTTGGGGAGAGAGGAGGCCAGAGGTAGGAAGAAATTCAAAAGGTTGTGAATTTCCAAGGGAAGAAAGTGCTTCTACAAGAAGGGGACAATCAACAGTTTCAGATGCTCAGGCCAAATGAGAGGAGGACGTGACAGAGTGACAGTCACTGGTGGCTGTGACAAGAGCAGTCTCAGGGCGGAGCAAGGTTGTGAGGAGGACGCTTGACTGAACTGGGTTCAAGAGAAACAGTGAGAGTGAGTACAGACTAGTTTTGCGTAGCTTTGCTGAAAAGGGGAGCAGGTATTTGGGGTGACAGCTGGACAGGGGAGTGTGGTGAAGAGGGCGGGAGAAATCACGGCATGTTTCTATACCGACGGGAATGATCTAGGGCAGAGGGGAATGGGGGCAGGAACAGCTGGAGAGCAGTCCGTGAGAAGGTCCGAGAGGCGGATGATGGGACAGGTGGGCAAGGACAGAAACCGGCTTCAGGTAGGAGCTCAGACTGCTCATCCACAGAAACCTGAGGGCCAGCAGAGCAGAAGGACCAGTAGGTAGGTGGCTGCAGGCTGGAAAACACTGTTTGAATGTTGACTCCACCCTAAATAGCTGGGAAAGTAAAGGGCCCCTGCCAGCTGTCTCTCGCCCAGGACAGAGTTTGGGGAGGAAAGGTGGAAGAGAATGGACTGTGGGTCTTCAGGGATGGCCAGGTAGGTGCAAGCCTGGGGAAGACGCCACAGCCTCTCCCAGCCTTCGCTGAGGGGGAAGCAACACAGGAGCTCATGATACTGTTTAAATTAACAGCAGGAGCTAACATTTATCCAGAACTTGGCGCAGGCCGGGCCCTGTCCTAAGCACCTGACACAAAGAAGCTCATCCTCCCTCCTCTGCAACACTGTTTCAGAGAAGGGAAACCAAGGCACAGGGAGGGAAGGGATGTGTCTGAGGGTAGGACCACAGCTCCCAAAGGGCAGACGGCTCAGCAGCAGGGGCACTGCCCGCCTCCCCGTCACAGCATGCACCTGGTGCCCCCCAGTGGGTGCTGCTGGAGTCCTCTCACTGCCCATCCTCCCGCTTTCCACGGGCGAGTCCTAGCGGGGCTTCAGAGTATTACAGCTCAATGCACAGTTCACATGAATCCCCAGCGGCTCAAAGGCGTGGACAGGGATTCGAGACCACTTGAACTAGGACACAAACAGCAGCCCAAGAATGCCCTACCAGATGCCCCAGCAATTCCACCTCTAGGTATACACCCAAGTGTGAAAGCAGGCTGTTCTGGGCTGAACTGTGCTTCCCCCAATACATATGTTGAAGTCCTAACCCGCAGTCTGACTGGTATTTCATAGGAAGAGGAAATTTGGACTCACAAAGAGATAGCAGGGATGTGCATGCACAGAGGAGAAGCCATGTGGGGACACAGCAAGAAGGCAGCCATTTGTAAGCCAAGGAGAGGGGCCTCAGGAGACACCAACCCTGCCAGAACCTTGATCTTGGACCTCCGGCCTCCAGAACAATGAGATGATAAACTTCTGTTGTTTAAGCCACCCAGTCTTACAGTATTTTGTATGGCAAAATCTTGTACACCAATGTTCACAGCAGTATTATTCACCACCACTAACAGGTGGAAATAACCCATGTGTCCATCAACAGGTAAATGGATAAATAAAATGCAGGATAGCCATACAGTGGAAATTATGTCCACACAATGGAATACTATTCAGCCACAGAAAAGAATTACAATTTGATAGATGCTATATGGATAAACCTTGACAACACTGTACTTAGTGAAATAAGCCAGTCACAGAAAGACAAATACTGTATGACTCCACTTACACAAGGTTCCTGGAAAAGGCAAATCCAGGGGGACGGAAAGCAGATTAGCAGTGGTCAGGGGCTGGGTGGAGGAGAAAACGAGGAGTGACTACTTAATGTGCATGGGGTTTTCTTCTGGCGGTGATGAAAATGTTTTGGAACTAGAGAGAGGTGGTGGTTGCACAACACTGTGGATGCACTCAATGCCACTGACCTATAGACTTTAAGAAGGTTAATTTTAGGTTATAAGAGTTTTTACATCATTTGTTTTGTTTTTAAAAAAGGCACACCTACACACGCACAGAATAGAATGTCCTACCAGGAACATATGATGCTGAGGTCCATGGCATTCTATTATGGCAATTCAGGTCTCATACAGGGCACAAAGCCTTTGTGTGTGTGTGTGTGTGTGTGTGTGTGTGTGTGTGATGCGTGATACACACATGCCAGAGCAAAACAGTCTAGCATGCACCTGTCCGTCTCAACTTACCAGTGCAAACCTATGTCCAAAGCTGATCCACTCCTTTTCTATGAGAGCCTCGAATCCTTTAATGGTGCGGTAATAACTGTCCAGCATCAGCATGGCCAGGGACGTCAGCTGGGCTGTTCGGTCCCAACCGTCACTGCAGTGCACCACCACCGACGTTTTCCCGGATTCTATTTTATCAGCAATTCTCACTGCCCCAGCAAGAAGCATCTTCAGAAAAGAAGGCACATTAAACTAGGCTCCATTTAATTTCTACTACAGCAAAAAGAATTCTGTTCAGGTCAATAAACCAAACAAGAATGCAATCAATTTGAGAATCACTAGGAAACATCAGTATTGTGGGGGAAGAGAAAAAGAAAAAAGAAAAACTTCCAGTAAGAAAAATGACAGTAGTAAATAAGGTCCTTTGTCAAAAGGCCACAAAGTACTTTAAAACCCTGATCTGAGGCAACCATTAGTCCTTTGTATTCTGTCACAAAAGACCACAGTTTGGATGCTGCCCATGGAAACTATGAAAGCTCAGGAAGCTCAAGTACCCAGCAAAGATGCGCCTCTTTGCAATGTTGAGAAACCCCTGGATAGACAGCTGCGTAGCTTTATGGCCCAGATGCAGAGAAATCTTAACCAGAAGGCATGTAAAGGACGGGTCCTCTGCGTACCCTTATGTACTCCAGCCAGTGCGTCCCGTCCACGTTGGACAGCCACCGCGCCTCGTCAATGGACGGGTACACGATCTCTTTCAGTTTCCGCAGCGACTCTCTCATCACGTGAATGTTGTGGATCTCCAAGAACACGAGTTCTGCATTCGGGTAAGCACTTTCACTTTCATAGCCCCCGCCCTTTGCCTGTGAGAAACAAAAGATAGACATCACTTCATCTGAGTTCACTTTTTGTTTTTCTTTATTGTTTAAACAAATTTTTAATTATCTTTTGTGGGAAAATGGAGATTACATGTGTTATTAGGTGATCCCTTTCTTCTTCTTCTTCTTCTCCTTCTCCTTCTTCTAAGCACAATTGAGTTAACTTTTCTATCCTTTCTAGTGTTACCAGACAGGGACCATTAAAAAAGCAACAAGTTCATCTGTTTATAATAAACCTCCTACATCCTTGCATGAGTGTCCCAGGGCTGCTGAGACAAAGTACTGCAATCTGAGAAACTCGTCCTCTCAGTTCTGGAGGCTGGAAGCCCAGCATCGAGGTGCTGGCAAGGCCGTGCTCCCTCAGAGCCCCCTTGGGGAGGATCCTTCTTTGCCTCTTCCAGTTTCCGGCAGCCTTTGGTGTTCCTGGTTTTACAGACACATTCATCTCTGTCTGCCCCATTTCACATGACCCTCTCCTTGTATCTCTGTCCCTTCTCTTAAGGACACCAGCCAGACTGGATTAAGGTTCCTCCTAATTCAATATGACTTCATCTTAACTTGATTACATTTACAAAGACTACTTCAAATCAGGGCCACAAAGGTACCAGGAGTTAGGACTTCAGCATTTTTTCAATGGAAACACAATCCAACTCATAACAGTCCTCCATTACCCATCATCAGTTAGTAAAACGATTAACAACTGGATCTTACACAAGACGAATTAGATTTTCAATAAGATGAATTGGATTTTCAAAGGTTCTGTGTGTTAGTACTATTTATCTGAATAAACAAGTTGTACCACTGCAAAACTTCTGTATAAAACAGTTTGTTTCTGTATTCTGTATAAAACCATCCCAAACAAGGAGATTCATTTAAATAATTTAAGTAAAATAAAATACAAATGCAACAAAACAGGGGGCTATGGCTCACCCCTTGGTACTCTCGTAACAAATGCTAGTCTATAATTAGCTTATATGTGGTAGAGGTCAACACGCAAAACACATTCGTTATAAGAATATGGAGTAACTGAAGCCCTAATAAATTACTGGTAGAAATGAAAATTGTGCAGTCTCTGTGGAAAAAGGTCTCATGGTTCTGCAAAATGTTAAACAGAACTACCAGATGACCCAGCAATTCCAACTCCTACAGAAATGAAAACTTTCATGTGAAAACTTGTACACGACAAATCACAGCAGCAGCATCTGCAACAGCTGAAGTGTGGCAGCGACCCCAGTGTCCATCAGTGACTGAGCGGTGAACAAAATGTGGTCTCTCCATACACTGGAATATTCTTCCGCTACACAAAGGGATGGAGTGCTGACTCAGCTACACAAGGAGGAACCTGAAAAACATTCCACTAAGTGACAGAAGGCACATAAGACCACACGTCGTGTGATTCCATTTATGCGAAATGTCCAGACGCGGAAATCTACGTAGAAAGTAAATTAGTGGCTGGCAGGGGGTGCGGGGAGAGGAGGGTGGGCAGCGGCTCCCAGTGGGCACAAGGTTTCCATCCTGACCACCATCGTACAACATTGTGAATAGACTGGAAGTCACAAAATTGTAAACTCTGGAATAGTTTTTGGAGAAGGAACAGAGCGTTCGGCTTCGAGCACAGGGAGCATATAATGCTCGTGAGAACTGAAGTGGAGATGTCGCCAGGCCGCAGGATACGCATTCTGGGGCTCAGAGGAGAGGTTGGGCTGTGACTAGCAGGTGTAGCGTCAAGTGCTCGAGGGCAGCACACACCTTGAGGAGAGCAGCCAAGGCTTGGAGGATAAAGAGAAAAGGGAAAGGAGTCTTCTGAAAAGGAGAAGGTACTCAGTGGTGTCCACAGCTCATGAGGTCACGATGAGAAGGGACTTGGCCTTGCCGTGAACAGTCTGGGCAGAGAGAGGGATGGGAGCCGGTTTCGCATGGCCCAAGGGGTATCAAAGAGACACCTCCTCCAAGAAGCCATCCGAGAAGGGCAGCAGAGCCGCGGTGCCAGCTGGAAGGGAACACTGATGGGAAAGGCTTGGTGGGAAGGAGTCGGCAGAGGGGAAAGGGAGGGCTGAGCAGGCAGGCGGCTGGGGGCAGGCTGCGGGGCACAGGCGGGAAGGGAGCGCCTGTCTGAGGGTTGCTTTGTTCTCTGGGAAGAAGGAAGTGGACCCCGGGAAGCCTGAGGCCCCAGGTGAGGCAGGAGCATCCCGGCGTGAATGTGGAGTGACTCCAGCCCACCCGCTGAGCCCGCAGTCCTCCTGGATGCTCAGCAGCCCAGGCTGTGGGCATGGAGGAGGCAGGGGTGCTGCAGGGCTGGCGAGCCCAGGTGCGGACCACAGGAGCCCAGGGCCGAGAGGATGGGAGTCTGCACCCGAGCAGGCAGAGGGCACAGTCCCAGGAAGGCCAGAGCCCACGGGAAGCCGAAAGCCCCGTCCCCCGGGTGGAGGAACAGGTGCTGAGTATCTGATAAAGCTTGCAAACACGACTGAGAGGAAAAGAAGAGAACTGTGTGTGTCTGGACGCCAGTTTGCACTTCAGGGCATTCCACAGAATTCCCTGAGACACTTTCAATTCAACACAGCACTCTCGGAACACCCACACACCAGCGCTGGACAGGGTGCTCTAGAGCACGGCCCTGCCTCCCTGCCGTAGCTCTGCTCCTCGGGAGAAACACCCACAGCAGCCGCTGAAGACACTGCTGACTGAGGCAGCAGCAGCCTGTGCAGTGGCTGAAGGCACTTTGGCGGCAGGGAGAGGGGGTCTGTGATCCCAGCTTGGCCACCCAAGTAGCTACGGGACCCTCACCTTCTCTTGTACCTCAGCTCTCTCGCCGTAAAAAGCTGCAGAGGGTCACTGGGGGGATTAAATGCTAATTAAGTAGATTCTCTTAATGAAAGCTAATCTGTACCAAGTCTGCTGCCCCCCCTCACCCCACACTAGAGCACTGGTTTCTTATCCCCTCACCCAGCACCTACCGTGCACAAAGCCATGAGATGGCGGGTAAATCAGCCCCGGTCCCGCCGCTGGGAACCCGGAGGGGATCCGGAGAAGAGGCCCCTGGAGGGGTGCTCGGCCCTCACACCAAGCAAACACTTTAGCTCAGAGGGAGCACGTGTTAACCAGCAGAATGTAGTTAAAGCCAGTCTGTTGCTTGGAAACTGATTACTAAAGATCCAAATAAGACAAATGACCACCAGAACACCGGGCGATGGAAGCAACTGAGCATGCATGCCTACCACATGCCAGGATGGAGAGCAGGCACCTGGAGGTCTCGCGACAAGGGGAAGGAAGGTGCGGGGGGCCCCACCTCTACTCCAGCAGGAACAGGGCAAGGGGGCTGGGAGAGTTCTGGAAGACATGAGCTTGCTGGCCAGACTTCTCTCTGTGGGGCCAAGCAGGGTTCCAGAGAGAAGCCAGTGGTGTTGGGACACCACTCCTCACTGGCCCCCAAGTCCCTCCGAAGAAGCGGATAGCAGCGGTGACAGGGCCAACCTAACCCTCGGGGAACAGAAAGCCGACCCGCCGGGAGGCAGCAGCTGCAGGACGGACGCAGCTGCCCTGATTTCCGGCGGGCTGGCCAGAAGCCTGCCGCGCTCTCGGTCCACTGGGCGCCGACCCTCAGCAGCCAGGAGGGCTCCCAGGTGTGAACGCTGAAGCCTCCGCGAGGGCAGGCTGCTCCCAAAGGCACGAAGCGGCAGGGCAGGGTTCCCGCACCCTCAGACCCCAAAGGCCCCACACCTCCCCCGTTGCAGACTAAGTGTTTGTGTCCCCTCGAATTCACATGTTGAAACCCTAACCCCCAATGTGCAGGTGTTAGAGGGTGTGGCCTTTAGCAGAGGATAAGGGGATGGAGGTAGAGCCTGCAAAGAGCTCGCCCCTTTCTGCTCTCTGCAATGTGAGGACATGGCAAGAAGGGAAGCAGAACCCACCAACACAGAACCCACTGGCACCTTGATCTTGGACTTCTCAGCTTCCATTGCTCTGAGAAACACGTTTGTTGTTTATTGGCTACCCAACCTCTAATATTTTGTTTTAGCAGCCTGAGCTCGCCCAGTTAGTTCTCCCCCGGGACACCCCTCCTCTCCTGGTATCTAGGACCTCCCCCTCCCTCCTTGGGGTCTCCTCCCACTACTTGGAGCATCCTTTCCTTCACCGAGTTCCTCTCTTGCCCTCCACAGACAGCATTTCGGGGTGGGAGGTGCTTGGCCCCTGCTCACGTGGCGGAGACTCCCTCCGTAGCCTCACCCTCTCTGCCTGAAGACTGCAACCACCACCCAACACACCACTGGGGCCCTGGTCTCAACCTCCAGAGATTTCCCTTCCCCACAGGTCAAAACTCAATTCCTTCCTCAAGGAAGGAATGTTCACTTTCTCAAGAAGAAATGTGACATACATGCCTTTGGTGCTGTCACACTGCCTCCCCATAGTGGAGTCTGGATTTTGAAGTTAACATCCAATGCCACTTGCCGTCGGGTCCTCTAAATGGTGGCCATCCATTGAGAGGCGACCCCAACCCACCAGCCAGCCAGCCCTGTGTCCCACAGTCGCAGGGCAGCCCCTGCTATTGCGGAGCCGATGGCCCAGCGGCTGGACACAGGCTGAATGAGGGACTGGCCACGTGCTGAGGGGTACGGAGAGCAAAGTGCGGAGCACCACGGGCAGGGAGACCTCCGCACAGCTGGAGACACGCCCTGCGGAAGTGACCTTTAAAGTGTCATCTGAAGGATGGGGGAGCGGTTAGCTTCAGGGCAGGGAGTTGGAGATGACACTGGGATATGCTCAAGGAACTGAAAGAAGCTTCTCACAGCCGCGACATGGACTCAGGAGGTATTGCGAGGCAGGAAGGAAAGAGTCTGTGGGTGCAGGGCTTCAGAGACCCTGTTCAGGAACTGGCTGTCACCACCTCGAGGCATGGAAGGCACGCATAGAGCGTATGTGTAGATCATCCTGGCCACAATGTGGAGACTGGATTGAAGGGAACCTCTCCAAAACACTAGCAAACTGAGTCCAGCAGCAGAGAAAGGAAATTTTACATCATGACCAAGTGGGACGTATCCCAGGAATGGAAGGGGGTTGTACAGGCTTCCGGGGGCTGCCATAACAAAGTACCACAAACCAGGTGGCTAAAAACAACACAGATCCATTTCCTCACAGCTCTGGGGGCTAGAAGTCCAAGATCAAGTTGTTGGCAGGGGTCATTCCTTCTGGTGGCTCTGAAGGAGAATCTGCTCCAGGCCTCGCTCCCAGCCTCAGGGGGTGGCCAGCCATCCTTGGGGCTGCTTGGCATGTAGCTGCGCCCCTTCAGTCTCTGCCTTCGTCATCACAGGGCCACCTTCCCTGGGTGTGTCTCTGCATCTCTGCACTGCCTTCTTCTAAGGAAGGACATGAATCACTGGATTTCGGGGCTACTCTAGTTTGAACTCAACTAACTACATCTACAAAGAACCTATTTCCAAATAAGGTCATTTGTAAGGTTCCAGATGGACATGAAGCTTTGGGAGCTGCTAGTCAACCTACTACAGTATCAAAATACAAAAACCAGTCACTGCAATACACCATGTTAACAGAATGAAGGGGGAAAACACATGATCATCTCAGCTGACACAGAAAAGGCCTTTGAAAATCCAATACCCTTTCATGATGAAACCATTCAACAAACGAAGAATAGAAGGGAATTTCCTTAACCTGATAAGGGCATGTATGAAAAACCCACAGCTACTTCACGCAGTGGCGAAAGCCTGAAAGCTTTCCCCTTAAGCTTAGGGACAAATCCAGGATGCCTGCTTTCACCACTTCTATTCAGCCTGGCATTCAAGAGGAAGTCCCCTTCTGGTTGCTAGAGGGGATTCTGCCAGATTCATGAATCGCCTAATAAAGCCAATTAGATCTTACAAGAAAAAGCAAAACATGGTACTCAAGGTTCTTGCCAGGGAATCAGGCAAGAAGAAGAAATAAAACACATCAAGGTTGGAAAGGAAGAAGTAAAACTCTCTACCTGCAGATGACATGACATACAGAGAGGAGCTAATGCGGACCTCGACAGATAAACATCCGTGTCTGCTTCCTAGACACATACACCGCTGCAGTTAAAATCACTCTAGACATGCAATTTGGTGTCCTGCTCCTGTCTCTTCTGTGTGGGATAAAACAATGGGCTGCCCTTGCTCTGCTGGATGTTTAGAGAGCGCCTCTGTGAATATAGCTTTTCTCATATTTTGTTCTTTTTTTAATTTCCCTGGGCTAGTACTACAGTGGTGACAGGAAGTCTGCAGAGATGCGGAAAGACTGACGGGGTTACTGATCCACCAGACGTGGGGAGCAAGGGGAACTGATTAATGGAGGATGACTACGCTGAAAAATGCTGCCGCCCCCCTCCCACAAAGACATCCACATCAATCCCTGGCAAGTGTAAATGGGACGTTTTTGGAAAGAGGGACTTTGCAGATGTGACTAGGATCTTGAGATAAAGAGAAAATCCGGGGTCATATTGGGCCCTCAATGCCATCACAAGTGTCCTTAGAAGAGAGAAAAGCAGAGACACAGACGCAAAGGGGAGGAGGCCGTGTGATGACAGGGCAGGGACAAGAGTGCTGTGGCCATGGGCGCAGAGAAGCCACTAGAAGCCTGGAGAGGTAAGGAACACATTTTCCCCTGAAGCCCTGAGAAGCAGCACTGCACCACCAGATTCCAACTTCTCGCCTCCAGAACTGTGAGAGAATAAATTTGTGTTGTTTTCAGCCACCAAGTTTGTGGTGATTATAACAGCCACCTCAGAAACTCAACCGCTGCCCGTCCTCCTCCCAGCCCCGTTCCTCCCCGAGCCATCCTCCTACTCAGCAGCCGATGCCCCCATTCGTTGCCAGGCCAGACTCCGGGGTGGGGGGGGTGAGCCCCTTGGCATCCTGTACCGAGGTCCCCGGGACTGTGCTGAGTCCATGACGTGCATTCTTCTCACCCTGCTTCAATTCTCTCACAGCCCTCAACATGAGACAGTTACCTCCCATTTTACAGAAAACAAGCCTGAGGCTGCCAGAGAGGTTAAATAACTTGCTCAGGGTTCCACAGAACACCAGGGGGCAGAACCTGGAGGAAACCTCAGATGTGACTGACTGCCCAGCCAAGGGTTCTTACTACCCTGCCTCTCAGGGTGCTTTGGATATGCTGAGGTTTTGTGACGTGGGAGACAGCTAGGAGGGGATGCCAACAAGAGAGCAGGATGGAAACTCCATTTGGACGTCTGGAGGGATCAGGGCAGGATAGAAACTTGGGTGGCAAACTCAACACAGAGAGTGTGTTGAAAGTCATGGCACTGGAGGGGATGGCCCAGAGAGATTGTGCCGAGGAGAAAAGAGGACCCCAGACAGTTCGAGGAGCGCCACTATCTGACAGCTGGGAAGAGGGAGAGGAACCAGTGAAGGCAGCTGAGCTGGCCAGGCTGCAGAGGGGGAGAGAGTGGTCCAGGGCCCAAGATGTCATGAGAGGCAAGAGAATGTAGCCATCCACTCTGAGGTCAATAATGATGACAGCAAACATGACCCGAGTGCTTTCTCAGGGACAGGCAATGTCATAAGCCCTTTATGGTATTGCCTCATTCAACCTTCACATCCACCCCAGAAGGAGGTGTCCGTCCCTCCCCATTTACAGAGGAGGCCATCGTGCTCTAGAGAGACGCGGTAACTGCCCACGGTACAGATAACCACGTGGCCCCCATGCTCTCCCACAGCCCGCTTCACGTTCCTCCAAGCCGCAGGCTGGAGAAGTGCTGGGCAGTCTGTGCGACTGCTTGTTCAGTAGGAGCGTCCCCTCCTTCAGAGAGCAGACAAGCCATCAGTCGCACACACACGGGGAGAAGGGCGTGCCTGCTGGCATGTCTGCTCTCTGAAGTAGAAGGGAACAGCTCCTCTCATATGAGACGGGGAGGTAGGAGGGTGGTCAACAATGGAATAATCACTGAGGAAAGAAGAGGCACAAGCTGCTGAGAGAAACAACCCCCCTCAAGCAGTGCTGAGGGGGCAGAGCGGGGGGGCCCTGAGACGGCCTCCTTGCCATTCGTGTGAATGATGTGCTCTGGCACAGTGCTGTCTAGAATGCCCACCCACCTCCTCCTGCTCATCATCCAAAGCCAGCTCAAAGGCCACCTCCTCTGCGGAGCCTTGCCCAGCGTCACAAGCTTCCCCAGAACACAGAGCTGACAGCTCCCATAGACAGCACTGTCTGCCTTGGTGTTTCCCCTGGCGCCTTGTCCCTGGTAGGTGCTCATTTCATGCTTGTTACCCAGGGTTACCAGTAGGCATGATATGGTAAGGGCTGTCGCCACCGTCTGGATACCCGAAATTACTTGTGAAGAGGGCCAAGTCCTCTGCCTGCCAGGTGCCTGCCTGCAGGACTACGCTGTCGGAAAGCCATTTCATGGTGTTACAGCAGGCAGGTAGCTAGAAATGAGCAGAGAAAGGGGGACACAGGCCAAATGGCAGGAACTGAGCAAAAAGGAGGGGCATGGGCCAAATGTGGGAAGCCATACAGCATGTAAGCACCAGGGGTCCTTGGGCAGAGAAAAGCAGGAACCTCTGGGCTGATTAAGTGGTCGCACCTTTTGGGGTGATGAATGGCCTAGAGACCGACAAAGAAAGGTGGGAAAAGGCAGGAATCTCGAATGTCCGAATGTAACCTCTTGTTCATTATGCCCTCGTTACAATAAAATTAACCTTGCAGATTAGAAGGACCCGTCATGCACCGAGGCCATAACACTTCCATCCAGACTAAATAAGGACACAAATCCCTCTTCCCCCTAGAAAGGTGGAGCTGGGATGGAAATCCCGGAATATGACCACAAACCCCTCCCTCCCCAATGAATATTCTGCCCACTCATTTTTATACCCTGTGTAACCAACTTGCCAAAGAAACTCAGGGCAGCAGCTCACCTGAGCCTGTCCGCTCTCCTCTTGACAGTGGACTATCCATCCCATAATAAGTCCCCACTTTACCTTCCTAACCTTTGTGTCTTGTCTCTGAATTCTTTCTGGGACGAGACAGGAACCTAACACTAGAAACAGTGGAAAATAGAAGCGACTCAGTTCAGAGCCATTCCTGTTGGAAAGCAGGTACTGGAGGCTTGACCTCACAGCTGTCGCTAGGTATGAAGGATCTTGTCCCCTTCAGCTGGTGGGACTCAGACAGGAGCTGTGTGCGGATGTCGCTGCTCCATGTGACTTACAGAAACTTTGTCTATCTGCCTTGTTTCACAAAGTTGACTCCATTCTAACAGAGCTTCAGACTGGATGTGAATTAATCAAGTGATAACCATATTTCACAAGTTCAAGGGACTTCCAAGGGCCTCGCGACCCTTTCATTAAAATACTTACTTGATTCTTTAGGTACTAATTCTCTTTCTGGGTCTTCGCTTAGTTCAGCAGAGAGGACTGTGCAGGGGCAATGAGAGAGACAAGATTCCAACCCGCACGAGACACTGCACACAGCCTGAGGGCTATAGACCCAGGCAGGATGGCTGTGGGCCACTCCCAGGGGAGGGATTCCACAGGCTCTCTGAGCAGCACGGCTGAGTCATAAAGAGTAGGGAAGAAAAGACTCTGCAGCGGTATCGATAAGGTACCTTGTTGGTGTCGGCGACACTGTTTTGCCGGGCATCAAAGATGATAAGTTTGTGAGCTTGCGCATTTGCATCCATTATAGTTTGCAAGTACTTCTCATCCTCCTTGCAGCGTTTATCATTGGGACCCACAAGTGGCTGGCTGCAGCGGGTAATCGTCGCCTGACTCTCTGGATGAATCCATGACAACACCTAGTGTTTGGAAGCAATAAACACTTAGTACAGTTCCTAAAACAGTATGTGCTCTAAGGATTGGGTAGTAAAAACAAGTTCTCTTCTCAAACACATTTGCTTGTTCAGACCCTCCTCAGAGGGGAGAGGCCCGCCCAGAGACAGCAGGGCAGCGGCCAGGGGACTCAGTGTCTGGGTCAGGGAGAAGGAAGTCTGACTACACGAGCTCTACAAATCCCCTCTACCTTTGAAATTCTGTAATTCTAAGAAAACCAGAAACTAAGTCAAACGACCACTAACATCAAGCCTGTTTCTGTCTGACTGGCTAGGCTTAGTTTGTCTCCTAATCTCAGCAACGCTGCATGGGGCAAGACGAGCACAAGCAGGTACACAGCCTCTTATAAAGTTTAAAGCTGTGTCCCCAAACCTCTCATTTCCCTCCACCGACCAGGAGACTCAGGCTTATACCAGGCTGCAAACTCAAGGATCAAAAACGCTCACTCCCTCTGTGACTGTGGTGATAGTATCAGGGCTGCGTACATATGTCCAAACTCAGCAAATTGTGTCCATTAGACGTGCAGTTTCCTTGTATATCAACAAAACTGTTTAGAAAAATGCACCCCTTGCTGGCTGCTCTGTTTATTTCTGTAATGGTCCCCCTCCCATGCAGCTACAGCATCCCACTCAGCATCTAGACAGAATGTACCTTCTCGAGGATGACCTGGTGAAACCAGTGATAGGAACTGCTAATACTACAGCACGCTAACTCCTTCCTTATTCTCTACTACATTTTGAGAGAGTAGGTGAAGTTACCCTCCCTTATACTTAGTAATGCGAAGTCATACAAGGTGGGGTCATAGCAAACAGAATGTTTATATAATTAGATGGCTCTTGAGAATCAAAGACACGTTCAGGTTTAGACTTACATTTGTACTTTCCATTTTGTTCACTACACTTTTTTCTGTCTTGTTTTCTTCGATATTAGATCTAACACAGTATATGATTATATGTAAATGACAGTGTTTCTTACTTACCGGGACTCTACCTTTGGCTCGGAAGGCTGCCACTTTGGAAAGGTCATCATCTTTTACACTAGTTGGCACGACAATGATGGCAGGGTACGTGTCACAGAGCTCATAATTACTATTGACTTTGGATATTTTCCAGCTCTCGTTTGGCAAGCCCTGCAGGGGTTGAGAGAGGGGAGGGGGAGGGGGAAGCACACTTTTACACTTTCAAAAAGTACCAAGCGTGAACCACATCCATCTCTTATTTTCTACTAAAATCTATTTACAATTTGGTGTTCACTGCTACTTAAAAGTTTATACATACATTTATTTAATAGAACCCGTTTCCTACCCAAGCCATTTAAAAAAATCTAATGAAGCATAATTTTCAAACACACTAAAACATGATTATAAAGTAGAATCCCAATCCTATACATTTCTTTCTATAAAGAGCATAGTGTTTTTGATACCGACGGAAGTTCTTTAGAGAAGCAGAAACTTCTTACAAATGTCTAAAGTAATATAAAACCACCATACCAAATATAGCCTGGAGATAAAGATTAATGTCATGAAAATAATATCTTATTGGAATATCTTCAAACTAACAATGAACTGAACAGCTTCCAGGTATAGGAGCACCTGTCAGACTGATGCAGTCATGCTATATACTTCAAATCTAATATAAGCCATTGCTTTTGATCCTTAGTCATCAATTTGCTACCAGAATATCTAATAAAAACCATCTGGCTGATCAGCTTTATAAACCCCCACCCTTGTACTCCTCTTGCCCTCTAGAGAAAGGACGAACAGTGGCAGAGCCAAGGGTTTGGCACAGGGAGAATGGGGCAACCTGGAGATGGCGAACCTACCAGCTGGGTAACTCATGCCTACAGACAACTTCTTTCAAAAGGGTTTTCTTATCCACCTCATTTCTACCCTTTCAGGAAAGAAAAAGATGCTCAACCTAATATTTTCCAGTTGATGGGCAACATACTTTACCTGTCTCTTATATTCAGATACTGGATCATAAACTTTCCATCCGTTAACTGGAAATTTTTCTTTATAGCTGAATGCAAAGAGTGTCTGGATACAAAAAAAAAAAAGCCCCATAAAACACATATGTCAGTATTTCTTTGCTATGTCATATGCCCAATATTAAAGCTTTTTCTCATAAGCTGAATGTATTAAGATTCCTACTTTATTCTGTAAATTTTGAAGCAACAACTCGACAGTTTTCTTTATCATTACACAGAACTGACAGATTTTAAATATTCTAATACTAGTTATCAACAGAGAGAAAAGAAAAAGGAAACCTCAGGAAGAAGGAATAATTAAACATGAAATCCGCAGACCCCATCAAGGCATTTAGACCTGCAGGAAAAGACGTTTAGTTTGGTGTGCTTACCTGCCCGTTGGAAAGAGGAAATGCATGTTTGCTGAGGTTTTCAAATATCCCTAGTTTACTCTGTTCTTCCTGTTTATAAGCAAGTCGCAAGTTCCTCATATCCTGTTAAACAATTAGCAAAACTCATTTATTTAACATGTACTGAGTACCTGTGAGGTAGACACCATGCTGTGAAGAGATAAATAAAATGTTTTTATTCATATCGCATGTTGCACAGTTGGCCCTCCATATCTGCAGGTTCCACATCTGTAGATTCAACCAAGCATGGATTGAAAATATTGGGGGGAAAAGTTCCAGAAAATTCCAGAACACTAAACTTGAATTCACAGAGTGCCAGCGACTATTTACATAGCACTGATACTGTATTAGGTATTTTAAGGAATCTAGAGAGGATTTCAAGGGTCTGCATAGGTTGTATACACATACTGTGGCATTTTATATACAGAGACTTGAGCATCCCAGATTTTGGTATCTGTTGGGGGCAGGCGGGGAAGCTGGAACCAATCCCCAGTGGATACCAAGGGACGACTGAACTCTATCTTACTCTAACAAAAGACAATTGAGGGGAGGGTAATAGCTCAGTGGTAGAGCACATGCTTAGCATGCACAAGGTTCTGGGTTCAATCCCCAGTACCTCCATTTGAAAAATAAAATAAAAACTAATTATTAAAAATAATTAATTATTTTTGAAAAGGCAGTTAACAAAACACCTCCAACAAAATAATAAAAAAATTAAGTGAAGAAATTAGAATAAAGGGGATGTGTTGGGGAAAAACTCAACAGATGGAACCAAGAATAAGGTTAGTACATAAATGACATGCCATCAAGTCCTGTGCACTTACTTGCTAAAGGTGTACCACAGAATCAGTTGTGAGCTTTAAGCTACTAAGAGTCAATTACAGAATTCACATCATCCATAAACTAGAAATGCAACAGGGATCTCCCTGAACTCATAGCAAGGACTCCGTGTCACACAGAGACTGCGGCCCTCAGTGACTTCCTTACAGAAATTATAATGCTGTTTCTCAAGATTGGTTTCAAAACACCCTGCCGTGCAAGCCACCGGTCCAAAGCCCAAATGGAAGTTGGCAGGAGCAATGCCAGAAAAGGTGTCTCTGATGGTGCAATTTCTTCTCAGGGCTGGTTTGAGCATTACCCCTGGCCTTTCTAAACCTATGCCATTAGCTAGACACGAAAGTCTCATTCTCCTCTAACCTTACATGAAAGTTGAAAATAAATATGACCACAAACAAATTAAAGCAAGAGCAGTTGGGCAAGTGACGAAGTTACAGTTGTGATATTATTTATAACAGCGAAAGAATGGAAGTAACCTCAATGTCCATCACTAGGGGCTGGCTAATGCAGTACCACCAACAGAATACTAAAGAGCTGCTAGAAACAAGAAGCAGCTTGTTATGTACTGCTATCAAGGAGTTGCAAGACACATTGTCCAGGGGAAAAAGAAAGGGGCAGAACAGTGTACATAACATACAACCATTCACATTTTCAAAGACTGCACATCCACACTTGTGCGCATAGGCCACCGGTGGAAACTGGTAACAGTGGGTGCCTGAGGGGAGTGGATCCGGCTGGCTGCGTGTTGGCAAACTTACTTCTTCCTACACACAGTTTTTTATACTTTTTGAATTGTGTATCGCTTGTTTAAAAAACAAAACAAAACAACAACCCTACATCTTGCAAGGCTCTCAGGCAGAAGCTGAGATGACTGGGAGCATGGGCCGTGGAATTCTAGGCTAGAAAATGTTTCAAAGCAGCTATTAGCAAAAGCTCACCCCAGCCACAAAAAAATATCCTAGTAAAACAGCCACAGGACACCTGCCTATGTGACATAGCTTCCTGGTGTGCCCTCCCTCAAGATACTCTGGCTGCACACATGCCCCCTGGTCGCTGATGGAGCTGACTTGCCAGTTAGGCCGGCTGGGAGGGAAAAGTACTCCAAGCAAAGGGAAGAGTGTGTGAGAAGTACCAGGAGGGGGTGGGGTGCGGGTATGCGGCGAGTGTGAGCAATTCTACGCACTGGGACAGCAAGATGAGCAGAGGGCAGATGGAGAGGAAGCTGCAGAGAAGAGGAGGTCAGGCTCACACCGCAGGGTGTCTGTCAGTTTCCCCTCCAGCCTAAGGATGATGGGAAGCTCCCGAAGAGTCCCGAGCAGGGCAATGACCTGTCCCACAATTGCAGAATCAATCAAATCCGCCCTCCACTTTAAGTTCTTCAATGGCCTGGCATTGCTCTGCACGCAGAACTCTGGACTGAGAAGGGCAACCCCAGTTTCTCCAAGGAGAGGACTGGTGTGTGGTGCCCAAAGGGAGTCTGGTAAGCCAGCGGATTCCACGCCCAGCAGAGTACAGGGTTACTTGAAAAAGCGCATTCAACTGCAGTCTAGGGCCAAACAGAGGGAGCTCTCCCCAGAGATTTGATCAAAGCAAACAGGAATCCAACCCCCAGATTTGGAAGGGACCTTGTCAGTGTGCAGGCAGGATCTCTGTCATGGTATTTTCAGTAGGGCTGTTAATAAGCTGTGGTCCATGAGGTCACGTTACTGGGAATGAAACATCAGTGAGGCGGTTTTTAAATGACTAGTCATCATTAAAGTCATCACACACGTTCTGCTTAACCCCTTGGAGGAAGAAAAACAGCTCGGTGCAGGTGAAAATTCCAACACAGCCGAGAAGCTTAACAGTGTATTTAATTCCAGAATTCATGAATATTGTTGTCGTTTAGGAAGTCTTTGACCATCCACTGTTCTGAAGATTAGTCTTAAGACAACAAACTGGAAAAAATATTGAGCTCTGCTTTCCACTGGATTTCTCTGAAATATAAAAATGTCACTACCGAGGTTAGCGGGCCATGTTAATTAAAACACTTCAATAGAAAAGAAGAGGTTTACTTCAGTGGCTTATATAACGGTCTGAATTGGTTGACAAAAGGTTGACAAGGTTTGCGTCCTGAAAACATTTGAGTTACTAACAATACAAATTACTCCTACTGTCCAAAGGCCGTGAAGAAGTTCCAAGCTGCACCCCCCATCAGTGTCACTTGTGTCTGGACCGTACCTTGCACACGATCTCGATGCCACAGGAGTTGTCCCCATGGCTCTGTGCTCCAATCTTCTCAACTCTGCTGATCACTCCCAGGGGGACATCAAGGATGAAATGCGGGTCCTGGGTTTACAAATTAACATGAACACCTGTCAATATCAGTCACAGAGTTTTCATACACTAAGTCTTAGAACACGTTTGCTTATTTTGCATTTCCTCTTGGACCTGGCTGATTTATAACATGCTTTATGAAGTAGATGTTGAGATGACAATCACACTTCCCCTCCAAGTGGAAGTGCTACTTTAACAGTCTTTTTTTTTCCAAGACACAAAATCCACTTGCAAATGTGCACATCTTAAAACTCACCCTCTGTTTCTCTCAGGGTGATGGGATTTCAGGATACTTTTTGACTTCTTCTTTATTGTTTACTTTCTTCTGCAGTGTTCTTAAAAATAAAACACACTTTTAAATACTCACCCTCTCTACATTTTTGAAGTACATCTTAAAGTCAGTCACTGTCAGGGTTCCACTCACTGCTCCCACAAATGGGCAGATATACATGACATCCTTCACTGAAAGAAAAAAACCAAAAGACCATCCACTGCCATTGACTTGTTTCAATAAATCTTAACATGAGTTTCCAAATATTCCTACTTATGATCCCAGTTTTCTCAGAACTTAAACATTTTCATTACTTTAAATGAAGACATAGATGGATAGCCTTCTAATAAAATTCCATTTTTTTAAAACAAAATTCCGATTTGCTACTTAATGAGGTTTTAAGTAAGGGGCCTCATCATAAGTTACATTTTGTCATTTTTTTCCAAGTGGTTAACATTTTCCCTGAGTCATAAATTAATCACATTCAAAAACACATTAATTAAACTCTGAAGACCCTGAGCTACCATTTCATAAATTACTGCTAATGAAAACTGACTAAAGTTAAACACTGTCCCCTGCTGCACCTCCAAATGAAACTGCTTTAGAGGTAGCAAAAATGAAAACCACATCAATGAAGTGGGGAAAGACTTTGCTTCAAATTCTTCATCAGTTCCATATCAGTTTTTTCACTTATTGTTAATATCCGTATCAACATATTTATCAAGACCAACAACATGTACGAGGCCAGGGAGTGTGAAGAAGCTCACACCTATCACAAAGAGACCACATCTTCCCAATCTTCCCAAAGCGCCATTCCATCAAAACGGCAGGAATGGACACAGCTGCCGATGAGTCCTAGCGCGATAAGTAAAGGTACTAAGGTTGCCGGTCAGCCAAATCCCCACAACACTTCCATTAAACCCTTCTCTAACTCATGTCCCGAGCAGCTTCTATTGCTGGGGTTCTACGTCTAAGTGGACATGGTTCCTGCCCACCAGCAGTGACCTGTGAAAGACACAATGTGGAAAATCACCATTATACCACAGCCTGATAAATGCTATCAGAACCACGAGGACACGATGTGGTAAGAGATCAGAGAAGGAGAGACTTAACTCAGCAGGGAAGTGGGGGGGAGGGAGTAGAGGGAGAGGAAGGGAGGAAGGAGAGCCCAGTAGGCTGCCAGTGGTTAGTGGGGCTGGGTCAAAGGGTACATGAGGACAAGGGACACGAGGCCACAGAAAACTTGCTCATGAATGCTCACAACAGTTTTATTTGTAATAGCCAAATAGCAGAAACAATCCAAATATCCATCAATAGATGAATGCATAAACAAACTGGTGGATCCATACAATGGAATACTACTCAGCAATGAAAAGGAGTGCCTGCTGACCCACGGCACTCACGGTACAGATGAATATCACAATAATTATGTGGAATGGAATAAGTAGACAAAAGAACATACTCAATGACTACATTTCTACAAGACTCTAGAAAATACAAACTAGCCTCTAGTGCCTGGAGAAGAGGGGTAAGGCACAGGAGAGAGGGATTTTAAAGGGGCCTAAGGAACCTTCTGGGGGGGTGATAGATACGTTCATTATCTTGACTGTGATGATGGTTTCCCAGGTGTATAGAAGTGTCAGAATTCCTCATGTTCACTTTACAGCTGTGTGGTCTGTTGTCTGGGGAAGCAGGAGAAGTCTGACATAACCAGCTCTGCATTTTGGTCCGATCATTCCCAAGGCAGTGGGAGCGGGGCTAGAAACACTCCCAGAGAAGGAACAGCCAGAGAAGCCAGAGGACCACCAGGAGTGAAGGAAGTTCCAGAAGCCAAAGAAGGAAAGTTTCGAAATTCAGGTCGGGGGTGGGGGGAGGGCATAGCTCAGTGCTAGAGTGCATGCCTAGCATGCAGGAGGTACTGGGTTCAGTCCCCAGTGCCTCCATTAAAAAACACTAATAATAAATAAATAGACCTAATGAAACCCTGCCCAAAAAATTCAGGCTGGGATGAACGGAGGCCGGAGCCACAGACTAGGATCGTCAGTGGGAACAGGTGTTTCCAGGTACTGGTAGGAGAGCCCGGCTATGCGAATGTTCTGGACACAAGATGACTGGACTCTGAGAGCTAACACACCCCTTTGGGAGGGAGCCGTGAGGGAAGAAGGCAACACTGGGCCTAGCAAACCAGACTGTTTAACTCGACCCCGGCAACTGGGAGGTGAAAAGATCATACCCAGCTGCCCTCCCATCCACCTGCTGAAACACCTGGGCACCTCAAGCCATCACCCTTACAATCCAGGGTGGCAACACACGCCCTCTTCTTTGCACTAAAACTGTACTTTCTGGACTCTTATAAGCCACTAAAATCTCTTTGCCAAGTTCTCAAAACTTATTAAAAATAGGATGGGGGAAGAGTATGGCTCAGTGGTAGAGCGAGTGCTTAGCATGCACGAGGTCCTGGGTTCAATCCCCAGTGCCTCCATTAAATAAATAAACAAACAAACAAACCTAATTATCTCCCTCCCCCAAAAAAAAAGAATTTTTAAAAAATATATGATATGGATCTTCTATCCTGACATTTTCCTTAGAGTGAGGGGCTCCAACAAGGCAGTGAACTGACATTACAGCGTGCATCTCATCAGCCTTCCATTCATCAGTAAAAGCTGGAACTGCCACCCAACACTCAGTCGGAGCTTAAAGTCATCCTCTACAGTCTTTTCTCTCTTGAGGTCATGACGACATAAATAAGAATGAAGAGGTCTAGTCCGTTGATCCCCTAATTAAATTGGTCTGGCTGGTCTCTAGCATAGACACCACCTGTGCTTGCAAGTAACATGTCATTTCATTTTATGGAGCTCCGTCAGCGAAGTCTACTCATTACACTTACCAATAGCCTTGATTGATTCTCCGGGAAAAAGTGGTGCTTCTTCCATCTGTGCCAGCTTATTTCCATCCCGTAGAGCCTGGCAAGAAACCAATCAGGAGTAAATCTCACTTTCCACCTGTACACCTGCGAAGAACTCTGGTGGTCTGTGCTCTTGCTACAAGGCTACAGAAGCGTGCAAAATGTATGCCCCCGTCCCCTTACAAGACAGTTTCAAAGCTCAGCATCACAGGACACCATGTTGCATGTTCTAGCAAATTGTTACACATATTTCAAGTTCACAGTTAGAAAGCATTAATATAGAAATGGCTTGACATGACAGATAGATACTGTAATCACTACACAAACAGCTATCATAAGGTGCCTTCAGAATTTGGAAATAAGGTTAAAAGGGTTACCTCTGAGCATGAAACTAATATAAATAAAATTAACACTGGACGTAGATGCTTAGCCAGCTGTAGAAATGGTCCAGCTATGAGATCGTCTTGGAAACCTCAAAGTCTAATTAAAGAAACCAGAGAGGGGATCTCTTACTAATGAAAGCCCTAGGCTTTTGTACTGCAGCCCAGCAACCTGTGTTTGCACAGAGTGTAGGAGGGGGGGACAGGGCAAGTGGGCTAGTCACTGTGTATCCCACCCAGTTCACAAGAGGGCGCCCTCATCTGGCAGACAGGAGTATTTCAAGCACCCCTGTGGAGCAGGGTGTGGTCACCAGGCTTCTCCCAAGTAAATTCATTCTGTTGATTCCACACTCACCAAGCAAATTGCTAATGAGGTATCGGGGTTCCTGCTACAATGACACTAGGAAAAGGATGGCTGGAGAGATACATGTCCACATGTCTAAATGTCCAGGTCGGCACTGCAGCCCAGTAGCCAGTCTCTTGTGAGCTTGGTTGGATGGTGCAGGATGACTCAGGGGAGCTGAGAAAATAGTGTTCTCGAACTACAAAGCTGAGGACCAAAGCCTGAAGTCAGTGCCTATTCCGAGCTACTGCCACCCTGTGAGATACTGCCAAGGAAACTGGTCACTTTCTCCTGGGCATCTCTGATATAACGTGTCATTAATAAGAATAAGGTACTTAACCCCAGCAATTCCCAAGCTGTGTTTTAGAGAGCATTAAATTCCCAAGAGATGTGAATAGGGCTTTTTTTTTTATTTTGTTAAAGTTTGGGAAATTCTGGCTTAAAGAAAACCAGTTAAGCTGGGTTTTTTGTTTGCTTTTAAGTGAGACGAGTCTTTGGCCTGTTAGTGTACGCCGAATCAGCAAGGGGGCGCTAGAGCACGCTGCATTCCCCTACCTCGTCCATCCGGCTGCATGATACCTGGTAACATCGGGAGGCCACTAGTGTTCAGCGTAGAACAGGTTGGACGATACTAAGTTTTCAGCATAATTTTGTGAGGCAAATATTAAAAATTGGTATCTTTTATAATTCTAACCTAAATTATTGAAAATTCAAAAGAATTATTTTGCATAGTTTTAAGAATATTTCAATATATTTTATAAAGGGACTTAAAAGTCAATTTAAAAACACTATACATAGTAGTTTCATCCAATTTCACAAAATAAAGAAAGGAAAATGTCAAACTATAAAGAGCAAATTGGATGCTAAATGTTGGTCAAGATATGTCTGTTCGGGGAGGGCACAAAATGACATAGTCCATCGTCCTCTTTATCAAGATACATGATTAAAATAATACAGATTAGTGTTTGTTCATTCTTACCTCCAAGCAGTTTTATTCAGTTTGAATTTTTAGCCCAGACTGGTTTTTAAGACATTTCTCAGTCAAAAATTTTAGAGACAGAGAACTGGGGGGACATGGAAAAGCACTGGTGGACTCATTTATATTCACACCTGATTTGGAAATACATCTTTGACACAATAGAGCATAAACAATATTTATGCTTTCAAAAGTAAATATTTATACTTTCAAAAGTTTTAGAAACACTTAAAAAATCACCAATCTTAATAGAAGCCTGATTTTGAAAGTCAGCTTTCTTTAATTTGTTGTGTGATCTAATAATTAATTTCATACTACTATTAGAGTGAGGAAGCTATTTTAATTAATATTCAAGTTTTAAATGACTTCAAATGTTACATTGTTAACGTTTATTTTAATGGCTAAATATTATCGTGCATCATATAGGCTTAAATTCCTTAACATACTTAAAAATAAATGGGAATAGGTTATTTTGAAATATGTTTACTAAAGCAAGCTGTTCTAATCAACTGAATCTGGAAGAGGTGAGGAGAAATCTGAGTTCCTTTAAGCTTTTTAGCAAGCCACATCAAACACTTTAAAGTCCTCAACCCAGGACTAATAAAATGTTGTTGGGAGGCAGCAGTGATTGGGACCATTTTGAGAATGTACAAGGCTCTCGAGATAGAGGTTGGAGACCAGTCGTTTCTCTTCTCTCCTGATGGTCACGTTAAATCTGGCTTGAAATACCTGTGCATTTAGATGAGGCATGAATGTGTTGGTGAGACAGTGAGACAAACCTCTCACTAATAATAATTAAATCTGGGACAAGCTTTGTAAGTGATGAAAAAGCAACTGTCAGAAAAAAAAATGATCTCACTGCTTCAGATTTCCCCATAGAAGGTTCACTTTGCACAGGAAAGACATCGAGCTTTAGCATAGAAATTCAAGAGAATGGTTCTTCAAGGTTCATTGTTTTGTTGAGTACGGTAGATTCCGTCTATAAAGCTGGTGTTAGGAGCTAGGACTCACACTTGTGCTATATTAAGCTTTGACTGCAACTTCCAAGTTGCACAGGACATGATTTGACCCTTGATTTATCCAACCCATGTACAGCATCATCAAAGAAAGGAAAATGCTCACGGATAAAGTGTGTCTTGTGAACACGCCCAGTCCTCTGGGTGCCTTTTTGCTCCCGGTGTTGCCCCAGTGAGGAATTCTCTCTGAGGATCTCATTCCAACCCTGTTCTGGTGACTGGAAGGTCCCACTGAAGACCCATCAACCTCCTGGTCTCTCCACTACCTTCTCCTCCACCTGAACACCAGCGAGCAGCAGGGTGGAGAGTTTCTCTAACAGCTGCATGCTGAAAGCAGGTTTTCAAATTGGGCTCTTCAAGGTGCTCCCAGGGTCACCACGGGAGGGTGGGTGGGGCACAGGCACAGCTGAGCACAGGCAGTTTGCCACGCTTCCCTGGAGCTGCTCTTCCGGCAGTTTCATATGTTGAGTTTCTACATAATCTTTGGGGTAAGTTCTGCGGCTTTAAAAGACTCCAGAGAGTCCAGAGGTACTGAACGAAGAGTAAGCACTCGAGAAAACTCAATGAGTGATTTTCTTATTTTGATTAATAACTCTAAGATATATGGACTCATTTCCACAAATCCCTACAGGGTACCAGGCGCTGTGCTGGGTACAGACTTTGCAAAGTGGAATAAAGTGGAATCTGTACCCTCAAAGAGCACCCTTATGAACCTGTCCCTCTAAGTCTTCGTGAAGGCACTTCAGAGCCCTGTTGTGACTGAGGCTCAGTAACCTCAGCAGTAAAGCCATCTGGGAAGGCTGAGAAGCAGAGATGACCAAACTTCTGGTTGACAAAATGTTGGATAAACCAATTTTTGCAAATAATGTCAGAATGGAATCTACCAAACTCGGACAGGAGAGTACGACTGTAGTGGTAAAAAGCACTTGCTTGTTCTCTAGAAATCTAGTATGAAATGGCTTCTAAATACACGATCTGTAACTACAAACAGATGAACACGTAGAACTTGCCACCTGATCAGCTTCAGCTTCAGAAGGGTAGCCATTGTGTTCTTCCTGAAGCTCCTGCACAGCACCAGGTGCATGGACAAGAAAAGGCAAAGAGGGGAAAGAGAAACACGTGCAAACAGACAGGTGAAAGGACAGCAGTTCTTTTTTTAAAGAGACAGTAAGCATGTAAAAGTCGACACATCTTTCATGGCTTTTTGCAAGTCACAACCATTTTCCCCCTTGGAGTTAAGGAAATAACGTGTGGGCCATCTACAGCATCCTCAGCCTAAAATGGGGTATCTATTCTGGGTTTGTGTTGGGGTAGAAAAATGAAAAGCAGACAAACATCATGGATTTCAAAGAATGTATACTGTCTTTTTAAAATCAAGCATTACTGTAGCATACAGCAAAGAAACCAAACAACAGACACAGGACATGCTCATAGCAAATATAACATACCACGGAAACTGGGCAAATGGCACGATCAAGCCAAAATACAAAGGCAATTTATAGACATGTGTCTTAAACACAGTAAGTATCCACATACTCTAAGGAACCATTATGGTATCTAGGGGTCAAGTCCACTGGCATTAACATTTCCACACACATGCTCATGCACACACCACGTGCTGGAGTCAAACACAGATATATACAAACAGTCTGTTACTGCTAATTAAAGATTGTGATCTATGAATCAATACCATATTAAATATTTATAATTACAGTATCAACATGCTTCAAACAAACAGCTAAAATGTCACATATCTTTAACTCTTTCCAATCCCTTTACATGTATACGGTTTTTAATTTAATTTCTTTATAGGATCAGCTATTGAAACTTTAAGAGCTTGGACTTTTCATTTAGCAGGTGGTATAACTAGTATGAATACTAAAGATGACAAGATTGTAACCCTCTTTAAAAGTGGTCTCAAGTCTCTGAGGCTGAAAATATTGAAATTTAGCATCGATGTATTTTTCCTTCAAGAAACTTTGGTTCCAATGACCACATTTCTTTAAAAGACAATCAGTGAAGTAGCAAAGCTTTAAAAGAGTTTACTATTTCCCACCTTTCATTTTTGTCAATAAAACAGCTACTTAATATTTTTTTACTTAATATGTTTTTATCTGTTATCATCAGACTGAATTTAGTACACAGTTGGTACTGACACCCTTCAAAGCAGGACAATTATTTAAATGCAACCAGTTTTTTGAAATTTCCATTTTTTTTAAGTATAAAGAAAATGGAATCATTCTTTGATAAAAATTTTACAAACGGAAGAATGAATGACTAAACAACAACCAACCCCCCCTACAGCATTTCAAAGTCCATGCAGATATAAAGCCAAGCACTAACATTTAACAATGGGAATCAGTGAAAGAAAATGAGTCCCAGGGGCAAAAGGACACACGGTGGGAACAAAATTAAACAAAGATAAACCAACTAGAATAACAAGAATCTGACTTAACCTGCTTAGTTCTGTACTACTTCATTGGCTTCAATAAGATTAAAACTTTAACACTGAAGTCATTAAATTATTCTGTCAAAATCCACATTGTTTTCATTTAATGGAAATAGGTTAATTTTCAACATCTGACACTCAGGTTTAAATACATGCATATTACCAATCTTTGTCTTGCTTTATGAATATTCTGAAATAAAGGGAAGGAAAATCATGAGGAAAATAAAAGCTATAAATCACTAGTTGTAACAGCTACCTCTGTATTTTAAGAAATACTAAATGGGGCTGATTTTGCTAAATTTATCTTCAAGACCTGCACTTCTGGTTTGGGGATTCATCATGCAAACACAAAGTCTTACTTGACCTTGTAATCAAGACTTGAAGTCTTAGATGTCTTACTTAGGATGGACAACAACTGACCACTTTGTTATTGTTGTTAAATTCTTCAGCATGAATTACATGAGGAACGAGGTTAAAAGAGGACTATGTAGGCCTACCCTTACAAGACCCTGCCATGAATATCCATCCCGTCAGAATTCATGTAACACAGCAAAAGTCAGTACTGCACACTGGTAACAATTTTAGCATACTGCCCTCATACACGGTGGCTTTTATCACACACAAAAACATTGTAACAAATAAAGCATTTCTAGTGAACACTTAAAGCTATGACAGAGCAGAGCAAATTGATCTGAGTGACTCATAAAACCAATGAGAAGGTAAAGAACACTAAATAGACCAAGTGTTCAATAAAGCACAGAGACACACAAGTAGGAGGCCCATCCGCTGAAAGCCAAAAATCCTTACCCTTATATCAGGCCTCCTGAAAACCTGTCAGTTAAAACACAGAACATCATCATCACGTACATGTCACTACTGACTTCAAAAGATGCCATTAAGTTCACCAGCCCACGCCCTAGGAAACATCATAATCCTCAAAATAAAACCAAGCAGATCGATCCTAACACATTTGCCCTCTAAGTTTCATTCGATATCCAATCAATCCTAACACATTTGTCCTGTAATTTTCAGGCAAGTCTATGATTTGGAGAAACTTACCGCCCTTAGGCTAAGACAAACTGCATTATTTTAAACACAAACCCCTTCTGTCAAGGGCTATTACAAGACAATGTGAACAGGCTGTGTTTGAAAAGTTCATTTGTGTGTCTGTTTGGAATACTGAATGCATTCTCCCCATAGAAACAATGATATAAAAAGGCGGTTCGGCCCCCAAACCAGCCCACAGAAACAAAACAAAACTGAACCAAGAAACCACAAAAGCGCCCACAGCTGATGCAGAGTGCCGCTCAGATGGAGTGTTAATGGTTTCACAAAGCCTAGTTAACCACAAATCTTAACCTGGTTTCTGCAGGAATTCTATTTCCAACTGGCACTTGGGACTCCTGAATTAAACTCCCTGGTGTGGCCGCCCCACAGGGCGAAGGTGCCATCCCTCACGCCAGCCCCGCCCGCTGCGTGGGAAAGGGGTGGCCACGTGGGGAGTGGTGGGGAAGGGAGGGGAGGGCGAGGGAGGCCCCAGACCAGGGGAAGCCAAGCTTTACTAAATTGGGACACTGATTTCAGCGAGGTTATTCCTATGCCCGTTGCCTGTGACTCCTACTTGAACGTGCAGCATAAGCATCTGGGCAGTTCTGGGCAAAGGAAACACCCCAGAGAAAGGATGGAACTTTTGAGCAGCCAATAGTGGTAACAGTCTGAGGAAGATGTGAATCATCTGTTCTCCATTCTACAGCCTGAAATCCTATCTTCTTTACACAGTACACTGGATGTTCTATGGAAAACAAGTTATTTTAAAAAAAAAGTCACTGGAGGTTTTTATTATAGGTTTTACTCAGGATAGATAAGAAAATCACATGAATACGAGGATACAGACTTCAAAAAAAATCACTGTATCACCATTAAAATAAAATACTCTTTGAAGTAAAAAAGGTATTCTGAATTAAGTGATGCTGTAGCTCAAGGGGAATTAAGGCCTAGAAGTTCCTAAATATAGACTACTTAGACTAAGAAGCTTAAACTTGGCTTTTTTGGTTTTGGTAGGGGTGGTGGTGATGAATTTGTTTCTCATCTTAATTGTGGTGATAGTTTCCCAAGTGTGTGCTTATCAAAACTTATCAATTTGTATACTTTAAATATGTGAAGTTTATCATTTGTTAATTATAAGAAAGTTAGTACAAAATAAATAAAATACATGTTTATGTTAATTTAAAAAACTCAAAACTGGACATATATGGTAATCAAAACTCAAAACTCAAAAACTCAAAAACTCAAAAACTCAAAATAAAAACTCAAAATAGAAAATCTCCCCTCTGGAGCTTCATTCCTCAGTGATAACCACGTTTAACTAGACCGATTTTTCACTGTCTCCATAACCATAAATATGGTTACACCCCTACTTCCTGATTTGTCAACTCTGAACAGTAGCTTTCTCAACTACCTCCCTCTTCCCAATCTGACAGAAATTTAAATTTTCAGTTCTTTTACTGTCTTCCTTCTGCAGCAGCTGCATCATTAAAAAAAAAAGACCCATGAAATGATTTTTTAGGTGCCCTCTTCTGAGAACCTTGTATACATTAATTCATTTTACTCTCAGAACAACCATGTGAGATAAAACCTATTATTGGCCACATTTTTGGATGAGAAAACCAAGGCACAGTTAAGTACTACCTGGCCAAGTTCAAGGTGGCTGAGCAAGTACTTAAACCCAGATAGCCTGCTCACTGCCTCAGCTGTGGTGCCACTCTAATTAACACACAGAAACTAAAGCTTCAAATATACATCCAATCTCTTGTAACCTCCTTTGGGGTTGATGAAGAAACCGACACCACTGCCTCTTCCCTCGCTTCTCCTCTGCCTCCAAACCTCCGCTCCAGCATGTTCCTAACTTTCACATTTGTTCTGTAACTACAATTAACTTTTGAATGCTTTGTCTATAAAGTGATAGCAACAACTGAAAATAAAAACGCAGTGGACCTGGGCCTTGTATGTAGGAGCTGCACCACTGTCAATAAGCCTTTGCTGTTGGAAGGAGGAACTAACCCAGAAGGAAATGGGTAGGATGATAATCTGCTTTCACACTCACACAATTCACCTGTTCTAGTGGCGTTCGTAGTGTTCCTGCTGTGAGGCCAGGTGGGTCCACGGAGGCGCACCTGAAAGCCTCTGACTTGATACCCTGTGGCTCTCTCTGCTTTACAGGTCTCATCTCTCCGGAAATAAGCCGTTTCAGACACACAGAGAGGTTCATTTCCTTTTTCTTGAATCTGATTCTGATCGAGGCCAGAGAAGAGAGCAGTGGTTTGGAGTGGAGAGGCCGGGGCCAGCTCTCACTGGCCGATTGGAGCCTCTGCATGCCTGCACTTGGCTTCAGCTTCAACACATACAAAAGGAGAGCAGTCTAGGAATGACTGCAAGGTCCTGACCACAGAGGAGGTTCTCACAGCCGAGGAGTCATTTTGGCTTCACTGGAAGACTTCAGAAAACATCTCCCCACCCTAGGCTTAGGGAGGCACGTCGGCATAGTGGTTGAAAGCATGGGCTCTGGAGTGGAACCCTGCCTCCATCACTTACCGCCTGGGAGACCTCGGCCAGCCACACAGGCAGCGGAGGGAGCCTTAGTCTCCCCCTCTCTAAATCGGCGATGCTGAGCGCACCTTCCTCATAAGCTGTTGCGAGGGTTAAATCAGGTAACAACTGTCCCTGCGGTGGATAAATACTCAGGAAGCGGGGGCTGTTAGTATCGGTACTATTTAGGTAACCTGTAGGTGATGGCTCTCAGCCTCCCCAACTTGCACTGCAACTCCCTTGACCTGCCCTACACCCCCTGGCAACTCCTACACATGCCGAGATCCTATGAGAAGGTGCAAACAAGTTCATAATGATCTCAGTCTACTTTAACACAGCAAGCAGACTGCCCAAAAGTTAACTATAAATGTACCTGCCTCTAAATGGCTTTCACTAAATCAAGAAAAAGCACTATAAAATGACCCCACTTCTGGACACAGCTCCTAATACCCTTGCAATTAGGGGTGCTTGGAGCATCTTTTGTTCTAATATTTGATCTTTGATCCCAGTTCCTGATGCAGGGCTCCTAAAACCCTTGGAATTATTTGGGTGATAGAAGTGTCTTCTGCTCTAAAGAGGTGACTTCTTGGTGGGCTCCTGGAAGGGGGCTGATTATCAGAAAGATCAAGCCATGATTTGAAGCTTGGAACTTCCAGCTTCACTCCCCATCCTTTGGAGAGGGGAGAAGGGCTGGAAAATGAGTTGATAATTGATCACGCCTATTTAGTGGCCTCCAGAGAGATCCCTAAGCCACAGCATTCAGAGAGCTTCTGAGCTGAACACATCCATGTGCTGGGAGGGTGGTGTACCCCAACTGCATGGGAACAGAAGTGCCTGTGCTTCGGACCCTCCCAGACCTCACCCTATGTATCTCTTCATCTGGCTGTTCATCTGGAGCCTTTTCTTATATCCTTTATTATATAATGAACTGGTAAACCTCAGTGTTTACCTGAGTTCTGTCAGTTATTCTAGCAAATGATGGAACTCAAGGAGGGAGTTGTGGGAACCCCCGATTTATAGCCAAGGCAGGCAGAAGTTGTGAGTAACCCGGGGACCAACTGCTTGCAATTGGCATCTGAAATGAGAACTGTTGGGGGACTGAGCCCTTAACCTGTGGGCTCTGCGCTAACTCTGGTTACTATCAGAATCAAACTGAATTGTTGTTGGAGAATTGGTCAGTGTGGGAAAAAACCCACACATCCGGTATCACAAGTATTCTAAGAGGGTGGGGATTCAAACCCAAGCCGGCTGGGTTTAGTGCTGGTGCTCTTAACCTCTATTCAGCCCCACCTAAACCTGTTCCCCTTCTGAGGAGGCTGCCAAATGCCCTTAAGGCTGAATGCCCAGAATGCCCTGCTCTGCCCACCTTGTTCCTCCCACCGCACCTTGTTTCCTTATCTATTTCGACACTCACCATAGTCCAATTTGTACTGTATTTTTCGGTGTCTCTTTCTTCTACTGTGAATTCCATGCAGCCCAGCCCAGCCTCTTGCACATAATAGCTGCTCACATCACCTTTAGGGAAGTCGACTAGTGTTCAGCAATTACAATACACTCCTCTTATATTCTTTTTACATATCATGTACATTTTTGTAGAGTAACAGTATAAGGTAAATGAGCACTATATTCATTTCATACATTTGCTGCCCTTTTTAAAACAGTAAACCTCTGCTGTAACACCCATTATTACAGATGAGGACACTGAGGCTCAGCAAGGTGAAGTAACTTGTTGGGCAGCTAGTCAGTTACAGGGCTGGAACTCAAGGCAAGTTGCTCTGACTCCAAATTTTGTGATCTTTTTAATAAACCATATAAGATGGTTCCCAGTCAAATAAATAGCAGTTTTTTATAAATGAGTTATCATTGAGTTTATGCCTCCAAGAGGCTTCTTTCCAAGAAAAGACTGTAATATTGGAGTAAAAACACCCGTCTTCTGTCTTAGGTGTAAATTCTATAAATAAAGTAATTTTGCTTTCGCAATCAGATCACTACAAGATGAGTTAAAGACTTTGAACTGTTGGGTCTTGCTGCAGGCACCTCAATAACCAGCTTCGTGCTCCCCACTGCCTGGAGTCAGAGGCCATGGTCAGGCCAATAACAGTCTCAACCAGTCATCAAAATGCAACCCTAGTCTTTGTGAAACAAGCCATACCTGAACCTTGCCTGACTCCTTTGTCAAACCCTAACCTGAAACAATCACGGTCCACTCTCTAAAGGCCTCCAGGAAATATGACAAATGAGCCGTT